AAGGAACCTACCTCACAGAACCTTTCAGCTCCACTTCCTCCAAGGTGAAGTGACTTGTTCAGTCACTCAGCAAAGTTGGGGCACTGCTTGGGCTCTGTTTGTATACTACATACCCTACACTGGACTGCATCCTTTGTACCCATTATCTGTTTAAAGCTCATAGCCATTCTGCCTGGCAGTGCTTATACCCTTTAACAGAGGGGTCTAGTGAGATCAGGGAACCTGCCCATATAGTGTCTGGGACTGGCTTCATTCAAATAAGACTTCCTGATTCAAAGCCCACACTTTTCCCCAAGTCCCAGGGCCTTGCCTCACCTCCAGTCAACTGATCTAGAGTTATGCAGTGAGGTCTGTGAGCCTAGAAGGGAGGCTGGGGGTCCCTCTCCTGGGAAGACCCCCTCTTAGAGGGCACAGGAGGCAAAGTACCAGGTAATTGAGGGCTGGGGAGGTCTGTGAGAAGCAAGAGGGCTGTAAAATGCAGGGCAGGGGAYAGCATTCTCCAAGCCAGGCTGGCACACAGGAGGAAGGCAACGCCATGGTGTGCCTGGGTTTGTTAGGAAGCACCTGAGACTGTACTCTGGTGTGCATGTACATATGTGCCAGGCACACACACATATGTGAGCATGTGGGCTTAACTGTCTACACTTCTGCACACTGGTGTGTATGAACTCAGCAAGCCAGTGCTCTCAGCCTGTATACAGCTGAGGCAGCCTTGCTTTTTTTCCCTTTGGTTGGACCTGGCCCTTGGGTAGTTGAATTCTGACCAGATCTTTGTTCTTTCAGGGAAATGCAGGGCTCTGGAACTAAGTAGCAGAAGTTAGATAACTGAAAGGATGTGTAGCAAATGCCATATTGCTACTTGTAGATAATGGTGCACCAAAGAATGAGGAAGAGGGAAAGAGAAAGGCTGGTAGCTAGTGGGGAACCCACAGTCAAGAAAAGTCATTTTGAAGATGGGAAAGAATTACATTGCCATGGGGAGGAAGCAGGGTGGAGGAATAACTGATGGGGCAAGGTTCCAGCCTAGGCAGGAGAAAATCAAGGGCTGGGGTGGGTGGACCATCAGGCCTTCTGGTCTACACAAAGTGGACAGATGTAGATAAAGGTGAAAAAAGGGGGGGGGGCTAGTGATCTCTCCTCCCTCCTTGTTAAAATGGGAAGAAAATGATCCTGAGAAGTATCTGAGAAGACTCAGGGTAGTGAAAAATGGTGTAGATGAAATGTCAGTGACCAGGTCCCCTCTGGAGAGGGGCTGAGTCCTGGAGAAAAGAGAGGCCTGAAGCTGGGAGGGCAGGTGTGGAGGACTGGAGGTAGGTTCCTGGGGTCCCATTTCTGAAATGGAGTGATTCCCAGTGATGACCAGGGTGAGTGCTTGGTGGTGGGGGTGGGGATTTGAGTGAAGTCTGCTAGAGGCCAGGGCAGACGCTGGTGAAAGGGAGCTGGCCCAAGTCTTTGGGGAACCAGGGGATGGAGGACACCACATGACACCAAGARAGGGGAAGAGAGGGTCTGGTAGGTGGGAGAGGAAATGGGTGTGAGTAGAACTAGGTAACTGTCTGTCTTCTAGGAAGGGGTCTCTTTTCCCCAGCTTCGGGTAAATGCTATTGTCAAAGGTAAATCTCACTGTATCATATTTATAATTAAGGAGCCAAGGCACAGATAGCAGTAAAGCGGGGAGGGGAACACCACAAAAACCAAAAATTAGGTTTGGACTTGATGTAATAACAGTACTTGCAATTTTTTTTTTTTTTTTGGTACCAGGGCACTTAACCACTGAGCCACATCCCCGCCCTTTAATTTATTTTTTAAATATTTTAAATTGTAGATGGACACAATACCTTTATTTTATTTTTTAATTTTCTAAATGTGGTGCTGGGGATCAAACCCAGTGCCTCATGCATGCTAGGCAAGCGCTCTACCATTGAACCACAACCTCAGACCCCAACCCTTTTTGAGACAGGGTTTTACTTTGTTGCTTAGAGCCTTGCTAAGCTGCTGAGGATGGCCTTGAACTTGTGATCCTCCAGCTTTAGCCTCCCAGTTGCTAGGATTACAGGGGTACACCACTGTGTCTGGCTAGTTCTTGCATTTTTGTATGACTTTTATGTTACCTTACATGACCCTACAACCAGAACCACTTGTGATTTTTTTTTTTTTTTTGGTGGTATTAGGGATAGAGCCCAGAGGTGCTCTACCATGGAGCTACATCCTCCATCCTTTCCATTTATTTATTTATGGTATCCGGGATTGAACTCAGGGGCACTCAACTACTGAGCCATATCCCAGCCCTACTTTGTATTTTATTTAGAGACAGGGTCTCACTAAGTTGCTTAGCGCTTAGCCATTGCCGAGAGCTGGTTCTGAACTCTCGATCCTACAGCTTCAGCCTCTAGAGCTGCTTGGGTTACAGGCATTCACCACCATTCCCAGCTCATTTATTTATTAGATAGGGTGTCACTAAGTTGCTTAAGATGGCTTCAAATTTGTGATCCTCCTGCTTCAGCCTCCAGAGTTATTGGGATTACAGGCCGTGCCAGGCCATTTGATTTTTGATGTTCTAGAAAGTTGCCCATTTGACACCAGATAACCGCTCTGATCTTTGGAGACCCCTTCTCAGCAAGAGCTGGGAAAATGTACACTGTCCACTGCCACACACACATAGACACTCAGCTCTGTCAGTCTCTGTTCTTCCCTCCTGCCTTTGGTGGCCAATGTTACTCCTCACACGGGAACAAAGCAACCTCTAGAACTTAAATTTACCTTCCCTTTAAAGCTTTAGTATCTATTGCTCACGCTTCCCCTAGGGTACTAGCTATGATAGTAAATCATTTTATTTTCAAAGACTGTCTTCTGCAATTGATGTCAGTTCATAGCCACAGTAGTAAGAATTAACAGTTAGTGGTGCTATCAACCAGCTGCTGCAAGTTGGGCCAAATGTGCAGAACCTGAGACTTGACTATTTTCAGCCTCTTCCACCATTCCCCCACATTCAAGCCTCTGGTGACTTAACCACTTTTTGGTGCTCTCTTTAGGCTCACAGTGTACGGGCGGAGGTTGTGCATTGCATAGGAGCCTTTCTTCTTTTTTTTTTYTTTTGAGTGCTGGGGATTGAACCCCAGGGCCTTGTGCATGCAAGGCAAGCACTCTACCAACTGAGGTATATCCCCAGCCTGGGAGCCTTTCTTTTAAGAGGGCACAATTCACACCACAGACATAGTAGATCTGTAGATTTACTATGACAAATTTCCAGAGGGTATCAGTGAAAGCCTTGAGGAATGGATTAGGACACATGAGGTAGCTGAGTCCTGAATTTCTCGTTCTTTTGAAATGGGGTCTCTCTAGGTTACCCAGGCTGGTCTTGAACTCCTGGGCTCAGGCACTCCCCCTGCCTCTGCCTCTCAGTGTTGGTACTAGAGGTGAGTGCCACTGCACCCAGCCAGCCCTAGTTTTCTAAATGGATACACCTTTGAAGGTGTTGGTCCTCTAATCTGGGATGCACCACTCCCTCCAGCCTGTCTGATCAACTTGGTCTCTTACCCTTCCAAGTACAGTAAAGACACCAACTCCTTGGTGAGGCCTTTTCAATTAGGTGTGATACGCTGTCCTGGCCCTAAAGCCCCTAGCACACACTTTTTCTCACTTCCAGAGGATGTTGCCTGTTCTTCCACCTGGCCGAACCATGCTATTCATTTTTCAGTCTTGCCCCATGCCTAGAAAAACACTTAACATTTGCTCAATAAAAATTGCTGAAGAGGGGTTGAAGGAGTAGCTCAGAGCACCTGTCTAGCATGCATGAGCCCTGGGTGCATTCAGTCTTTGAAAGCTTATCCTAGGATCAGGTTGACTCATTGGAGCCAAGTGCCTGGACAATGCTGTTCCTCAGGGATTGGATTCTTCTACCAGTGTTTGGTTTGTGCCTTTACTTGTATTATAAGACAGTATGTGAAACAGCCTTGGAACTTGTCTGCTCTGTTATGGCACAGATGTCAAGAAGGACCTTGTTTATTACATCTTAGATCTGCTTCCCTAGGTCCACAAATAAAAGTTCCAGGGTCCCTATGCCAGCAACACTTTTACTTTTTTTGAGGAATGGTGTTTTTATTTTGCAAAGTCAGTCTATTCACATCTCTCTTTATTTGGTGACTGGGAAGCTAAAAGACAAATTTGTGATCCACTTTCTATGATGTGCACTGCTGTGTACTCAGCTTCCCCATCTTCTCCAGAGTATTTATATTCTAAATAATAGTTCTGTTGTGGTGAGACATTTTGGGCAAGAGGTAGGTGGCAGCACCTGAGCTGGGTCCACAGCCATTATATACAATCAGATCTGGAAGTTAGGTGCTCTGACTTCAACAGGCAGAGGCTGAAAGAAAGCAAGTGGCAAGGAACTGAATGCTCCTGGGCCAGCCAGTTGGGTTCCCAGGGACAACCATGAAGCACTGTCACATCCTCTGACCTCAAGTCTAAGGGGAGCCTTGAAATCTCAGGGAAGGAAGGCTGAGGCAAGGAGAGCATTTAGGAATTAAACTGCTGGGTCAGTAGGCCAGGAACCCTGGGCAGGTCTCATTCATCTTTACATAATTCTAGTGCATCTGCAGCAGTCAGCTCATAGTGGGTGAGCAGTAAGCACCTGTTAACTGAGCTCCACCTGGGTTCGACACTTCCCAGTTCCCAACGCTTCACTTCATGAGGTCTGAAAGTATGGACCATGTGTCCTACTGAAGGCATGGCTGGTGTAACCAGGTCAAAATAGTATCCATTGCCTACAGAGAGAGGCAGGGACCAACCAAGTTGTTTCCAGATCCCTCTTGGCTCTGAGAAAAATAGTCTCAGATAAACCTGGGTCAGAAGGGTATTTGGTGCCTGAAGGAAGGATGCCCAGCACAGTGTAGGTGAGAGGGTAGATGCTGGGAGTCTAGCCTGTTCCATAAGTAGTAGTAGTTGAGTCCTCCTAGGCCCTGCAGGACCTCACCCGCTGCTCCTCTCCCACTTGTCTGCAGCTCTGTCGAAGATGCACTGGACACCGGAACACGCCCAGCCCCTCAACCAGTGGCCAGAGCAGCATCTGGATGTCTCCTCCACCACCCCATCACCAGCCCACAAGTTGGAGTTGCCCCCGGGGGGTCGACAACGCTGCCACTATGCTTGGGCACACGACGACATTTCTGCCCTCACTGCTTCCAATCTCCTCAAGCGGTATGCAGAGAAGTACTCGGGGGTCCTGGACTCACCGTACGAGCGCCCTTCCCTGGGCGGCTACGGGGACACCGCCTTCCTCAACGGTGCCAAGGGAGAGCCGGAGCCCTGGCCCGGGCCAGACCCACCCTATCCCTTGGCCTCACTCCACGAAGGCCTCCCGGGAACCAAGTCCGGAGGTGGGGGCGGTTCCGGGGGCCTTGGGGGCTCCCCGGTTCTAGCAGGGAACCTATCTGAACCCCTATATGCTGGCAACGCGTGCGGAGGCCCGTCGGCGGCGCCCGAGTACGCTGCGGGCTACGGCGGAGGTTACCTGGGGCCAGGCTACTGCGCTCAGACCGGAGGCGCTCTGCCCCCGCCGCCCCCGGCCGCACTCCTGCAGCCCCCGCCCCCGCCCGGATACGGCCCCTCGGCGCCTCTGTACAACTACTCCGCGGGGGGCTACGCCGCGCAGCCGGGCTACGGCGCTCTCCCGCCACCCCCGGCCGCGCCCCCCGCCCCCTACTTGCCTTCGGGCCTGGCTGCCCCCACGCCCCTGCCCGCGCCCGCGCCGCCCCGGCCCACGCCCACCTCCTACGGCTTCCAGGCGGCCACTCCCGGCGCGGACGCCGGCGTGTCACTGAAGCGAAAGGCGGCCGACGAGGGCGCGGAGGGTCGGTACCGCAAGTACGTTTATGAGCCCGCCAAGGCCCCAGCGGTTGACAACGCCTCCTATCCCGCCGCGGACAACGGCGAGTGTCGGGGCAACGGGTTCCGGACGAAGCCGCAGGGAGCCGCGGAGGAGGCGTCGGGCAAGTACGGTGGCGGTGTCCCTCTCAAGGTCCTGGGCTCCCCAGTCTACGGCCCGCAAGTTGAGCCCTTTGAAAAGTTTCCGGAGCGGGCCCCGGCGTCGGTTCCCCATGGGGGCTTCGCGGTGCCGCCCGTGGAGCCCTCCAAGGGTGTGGACCAGGGTACGCTGGAGCTGGTTACCAGCAAGATGGTGGACTGCGGACCCCCGGTGCAGTGGGCAGACGTGGCAGGCCAGGGCGCGCTCAAAGCGGCTTTGGAGGAGGAGCTGGTGTGGCCGCTACTGAGGCCGCCCGTCTATCCCGGCAGCCCGCGCCCGCCGCGGACAGTGCTGCTCTTCGGTCCGCGGGGTGCCGGCAAAGCGCTGCTAGGTCGCTGCCTTGCCACACAGCTAGGCGCCACGCTGCTGCGCGTGCGCGGTGCGAGTCTTGCCGCGCCGGGCGCCTCCGAGGGCGCGCGCCTCCTCCAGGCCGCCTTCGCGGCTGCGCGCTGCCGTCCTCCGGCTGTGCTCCTCATCAGTGAACTGGATGCGCTGCTCCCCGCCCGGGACGACGGTGCCGCGGGTGCGCTGCAGGCGCCGCTCCTGGCCTGCCTGGACAGTGGCTGCGGCGCGAGGGCAGATGGCGTGCTAGTTGTGGGCACTACTTCTCGGCCCGCGGCTCTGGACGAAGCGACCCGCAGGCGCTTCGCTCTCCGTTTCTACGTGGCGCTGCCCGACAGTCCGGCCCGCGGGCAGATTCTGCAGCGGGCGCTGGCCCAGCAGGGCTGCGCGCTGAACGATCGGGAGCTCGCGGCCCTAGTCCAGGGCACCCAGGGCTTCTCAGGGGGCGAGCTGGGGCAGCTGTGCCAGCAGGCAGCGGCTGGGGCAGGCCTCCCGGGGCTGCAGCGCCCCCTCTCCTACAAGGACTTGGAGGCGGCGCTGGCCAAGGTGGGCCCAAGGGCCTCCCCCAAGGAGCTGGACTCGTTCGTGGAGTGGGACAAAATGTATGGCTCCGGACACTGATGGCGCGCGGGGGAGGCCTGGAAGCCATCGGCCCTCCTTCCCCGCCTCCTCAGTTTGGCGGGGAATGTCCTTGGCCAAACTCGACTGGGAGGGAGTCCGGGTGGTGAATGTGGGTGGGGGACAAGAGGGCTCTGTCGGTGGATTTGTTTTCCGTGCGAAGGAAAATGCTTCTGCCTGCAGATCGATGCCATATGCGCCGTGTACTCAGGTTTTTCCTATTTATTGTGGACGGGATCTCTCGCCGTTTCAGTTCGGCGGACCGGGCACACCCTGCGTGGGCTGGCACCTGGGCCCTAAGGAACTCCTGCTCTCTCGCCACAATCCTTTGGTTTCCTCAGAATGGCACCCTCCTCCTCCCCCACTCCCTCTTCCGTGCATTCGCTCAGTTTTTTTCTCCTGTCACTTTGTCACTGACCTCCCCGTGCTGCCCCTGTACCTCTTCTGCTTCTTCCTTCTGTTCCCTCCTTTCCGTCTTTCGCTCTCTTTCTGTGTCCCTTGCACTCCAGCGTCCCTGTGTCTCTTGGTTTCTGTGCTTTAACGCTCCTCCCTTCCTTTTGTCCCTCTCATTCACACTGTAGTGACCATTTGCAGGAGATCTGGAGGCCCAGGTGGAGAGGAGGACATAGTAGGGAGTCCCCATGTATCCTCTTACCCCTTACCCCGCTGAAACATTGGGTCTGGGGGGTGAGGGGCAAGTGAAAAAAAAAAAAAAAAAGAAAAAAAAGCCACCCAAAGAAGGGTTTTTTACTTGGTTTGTTTTTGAGGGGAAGTCCCAGAAATGTAGCTTGTTTAATATTTTAGGCTTTTTATTTTTGTAAGATATTGTAGAATTTGATGTTTTTCTTTTTATTTTGACAACTCAGGAAGAAACTGACCTCAGAAAGAATGTTAGACTTTGGCTGCTCTCCTGTGTGTCCCCCCACCCCAGGGGAGCAAACTTCTAGAAGAGTCAAATCTAGAGAGGCTTGTGGGAGGGCAGAGAAAGACCCAGTGCTCATTCACATCCCTGGCTGTTCCTGGGACAGAAGCAGAATGTATTTCTAAGGGCTTCCTCCCCAGGACCCAGCCAGTAGGCACCGTGTGTGGGAAGGGGATGTGGGATTTGAAGTGGGTAGGTTTTGCTCCCTTCCTGTTGCTCTCCCCTCAGGGCCCCACCCCTTAGTTTCAGGTTTTCTGTGCAGGGTTTATCCAGAGTTGGGGTGCTCTTGCCCATTTCCTGCCCTAGGAGGAGAGCCCAGATGGGAAGATGACCCAGGCAGAAAGTCCCCAGAGAGGTCACTTGGCCCTTGCTTTGGCAGAAATCCTCCATGACTTGGGCAAAGAGGATTCCCTGGAGAGGGAAGTCCTTTGGCCACAAATGTGGTTAGGCATAAAATTGACTACTAGCCCTCAGCCACCGCCATTGCTGTGAGCTCTGAGGAGGGGCAAGCATCCCTCACCAGAGAAAGCTGTGTAAGGAAGTGCGCCTCCCTGCTCTCCTAGACTCCTATGCCTGGCACTTCAGGGCCTGGAATGGAAGGGTGTTTTTCCCTGAGGGGGGTTGGTTTTCATGCCCCCAGAAATTTGCCAGCAGGCTTGGAGCTCTTCTTTGAGAACCATATTCCTCTCCTTCTTTGATGGGGCTTTAGCAGTTTGCTCCCCTCCCAGCTTTCACAACTCTGGTTTTGGTTCAAAGGGGGAACACCCCCCACCTCCTTCTCTCTCTCCCACCCCAGCCTCCCCTGCCTTTGCTGCTTGCCCTACAGCTCCTATAGCTGTCACCCTATTCTCTTGGCAGGGAGTGTGTCTGTGTGGGACACTTCAGAGCCAGAGCATTGAGGGCCCCTGCTGCCTAGGAGTGCTAATAGGAGGGCTGCTGTGTGTTCCCCCTCTTCACCCTGGATCTTTCTGACCCTCTCTCCTTGAAGCCAGCCTATCGATTCGCAGAACATTGGTGCCTCAGAAGCTGTGGCTGCAAGGTTTTGCTYGGAAAGAACCTTAAAGGGAGAATGGAGTGAGGGGATTCGTTCTCAGGTGTGTGTGGGGTAGGGTGGGGAATGGAGGGTGGCGGGAAGTGGGGTTGGGATCCCAGCCTTCCCTTCAAGGCAGGCAGCCCTGGAGGTGGGTAGGAGCTTGTTGACTAAGACCCAGGGCCCCCGTTGCTTCCTCTGCTGGGCCCTTTCTGACCTCCCGGGCTTGGGGAGCATTGCACAAGAAGAAGCCCCCAGTCTACTGGCACCTACCTCATAGGCATAGGGCAGGAAGGGCAGGGCAGCTCCAGCCCTGGCAACATTGGGGGGGCATACCAAAGAATCCAAGGGCAGGGTGTGGGGGAGGGCAAACTGGCCCTCTGCTTCCTCTACCCAGATTGGGGTTGGGATCCTCTCCTCCAGCTGTAACCATTTCTACCTCATTTTGCTGCGTGTTGTACATGGACGTATTTATCTCCTGTCTGATGCTCTGCAGTTGTGGTCTGTCTACCTCAGAAGAGACTGTATTTTAAAAGAAAGAATTACACAGTATTAAAGTGATGATATATGGTTTCCAGAGGATTTCTTGGGGCGATGGGATGTGGGGAGTCCTCTGAAAATGCTTGGGCCCTCAGGTCTGCCAGTATCCTTGCTGTGGCTCTGTGGATATTTCTGTTCCTTCAGCAAAAGTTATTTGGGGGACTTTGTCATTCATTCTACATAGAGAATGCTCGCCAGGCATTCAGCCTCTCACATGCTAGGCAAGTACTCTACCACTGAGTTACTCCTCCAGCCCCCATGCCAATCTTTATATTCTCACATTTGATACAACTATTTAGTGCATAGCAGACACTGTTGAAAAAAGAGTTTGTTGAATAAATTCTTTAATTTCCAGATCAGCGTCCTGATGAATGATGCACAGGTTATCTCAAGAATGCCCAGAAAAGATTCCAACCAGTGGTGGTGATAGAGTTTCAGGGATCTTCCTAGATAGGAAGGGATGGCCCAGAAAAGCATGGAGGCTAGAAATGGTATCATCAGCATTTTTTGTGTGGGACTATGCAGCAGTGTGATTTTTGTTTGTTTGTTTGTTTGTTTGTTTGTTTGTTTTAAATCCAAAAGTATGAAGTAAGAAATAGGCGCCGGAGGGGTAGGTAAGTGAGATTGGAGAAGTCAGCTGGGACTTTACCAGTAGAATCTCCAAATTCCCTGTTAAGAACTGGGGCTTAAGCCCAATGAGGTGCCATATGCCTGTAATCCCAGCTACTTGGAAGGCCTGAGGCAGGCCAGCCTGGGCAATTTAGTGAGATTCTGTCTCAAATAATAAAAAGGACTGGGGAATGTGGCTTGGTGATAGAGTACCACTGGGTTCATACCCATTATGGCAGGATGGGGGTGGGGAGAAAAGCTAGAGCTCCACAAAAAAAGTATGGTACATATGTGGTGGGGAGGTTGAAGTGGACAGAGGACTGTTTTGCAAGTTAAGATTTTATACATTGATTCAACAAATCTAAATCCCTCTTACCTGCTGGTTGCAATGGGGACAGTGGATATATGTCACAGTCTAGTGGCTGGATCCAGGGTGGTGTCATCAGCATCCTTTGTGTGGGTGGTCAGCATTAGCTAGTCCAGTGGGTGAAACAGTGGAAAGGTAGAGCTGCAGGGTGCTGGGGCAGGGGCAAGCAGAGGGGTGCTTATGTAGTCTGGGCTAAGCAGTGTGTGTTTGCCAGTCAGGGAGCAGGCCAGGGGAGTTGTACTTTTTAGGCAGCCTAAAAGTACAAACCAAGAGCCAAAGGAAAGCCAGAGCCAAGCTTTCTTGGGGGGAAATAAAACAAGTTTAGGGAAATGGAGCCCCAGTGTGTGTGGAGGATGGGAGACCAGAGGAGGTGCTTATCTAATTAGGATGGAGGCAGAGCAGTTGTGCAAGAATGAGAAAGGACAAGGTCATCCCCAAGAGAATTTAGGACTTGACTGGGTATTGGGGATGATGGAGAGCAGGGGTGTCTAGGGTTTCTTGGTGGAGGGCAAGGGTGTGATAAGTGAACTAGAAAAGGAATTGGCCAAATTTGAGGATTAGCGAGAATAAGGAGGTGGCCTAGATCAAGCCCTTCAATATAAGGGCCCAGAATCCTAGCCTTCTGGGGGCCCATTCCACCCAACCCGTGGCTATCGCAGATCCTTTCATTGTAGTTCCTGGGCTTAGTGAGCCTTCCTTTCCAACCAGTCCTAGTGTTGGAAGCCCTTCTCCTTATCCTGGTGGTTGGGGCCTCTAGCCCATTGTCCCCGAGTGTTAAAATCTATCCCCACTCCCTGTGGCTCGGAGACCCTTCCTGCACTTGCGTTCCAGAGGGTTCGAAGCCCCCGCCCTCCCACAATCCATGGGAGTGAGGACCCCAGCCTCCGCCGGCATTCGGAGCCCCTCCCAGCAAAGGCTGAGGTCCTGGACTGGGCCCTGCGATGGCCGCTCTGGCTCTGGTGCTGGCGCTCTGGGGCTGGGCGCTGGGTCCGGCGAGGGCCCTGGACGCCTTGGGCCCTCACGCGGCCGTCCGCCTGGCCGAGCTGCTGACTCCGGAGGAGTGTGGCCATTTTCGGTCACTCTTGGAGGCGTCAGAGCCCGACGTGGAGGCCGAGCTGGCCCGGCTTTCCGAGAATCGTCTGGCGAAGCCCAAGCCGCGAACACTCAAGTCGGGGTCGCCAGGCCAGCTGTGGTGGCGGCGGCGGCGGGAGGCGACCGAGGTCCCGACGAGCCAGGTGACCGAGCCCAAGAAAGTTTCCGACGATTGCCGGGAAGCCCTGGCGTCCTGGCTGGCTGCCAAAGCCCTGTTCCTGTCTTGGGACCGTGTGGCCCGGGCCCTGCGGCGTACTGGTCGCCCCGATGTGGCCCGGGAGCTCGGCAAGAACCTCCACCAGCAGGCGACGCTGCAGCTGCGCAAGTTCGGGCAGCACTACCTGCCACCTCCGGGAGTCGCCGCCCACGTCCCCGCCGCGGCCCGGCGGCCCCGGCGCACCTTGGATCACGCGCCCAACTGGGACGAGCTAGAGCTGATCGTGGAGCGCCGGCCGCAGCCCCCGTACGAGCGGAGCCCCGCGGGCTGGGCCGGGCCGATGGCGCTCGGCCTCCTTACAGGCTTCCTGGGAGCCTTGGGCTCCGGGGCTCTGCTTATCCTGCTCACGCTGTGGATCACCGGCCGCGATGGCGACCCGGCGCGGCCCCGAGGCCGTGACCCACCCACCGTGCCCCGGCCCAGGCCAGCCGAGGCGCACCGCCGGTGGGAAACAGAGCCGCTCCTGACTAGGGAGCCGCTCGCGTCCCCAGCCCACCGGGCCCGGGTTGCAGCTGAGCCAGATTGCCCCTCGCCTCCATACCCTCCGTGGTGAAACGGGAGCACCATGCTGCCTTGGACGTTTGATAAAAATGTTACAAAATGCCCAGCGGAGGGAGCAGTCGGTTGTCAGTTGGAAATGCCCGGCCTAGCCCGTGGACTGCAGATGGAACACGAGGGGCCCTGGTGCCAGTCTCACAGGGTGGGGGCGGACCTCTCACTTCTTAACAGCCTTAGTTCTGCCTTATCTTGCAGTTTTTCTCCCACTAAGAGCCACCACTTATTGAACACAGTCTGTGTGCAGGGCTGGTGCAAAGAAGTTCTGTACATTATTTGATATTCTCCTCCAAACCCAAGAACGAAGGTATTTCTGTTAGACATCAGGAAACCCTGCTCACAGTTCCTTAGTGCCATAGTCAGGCTTTTGAACTCAGAACCACTGACCTGAAAATTTGAGTCCCAGAGGAATGGTATGTGCCGGATGAGGGAGCTTGAGACACACATGGGACCAGAACAATATGCACAGCTGCCCTGGGTTTGCTCTGAGGTGCTGCTGGAGTGTGCAGGGGCAGTGCAGGGAGAGGGGCGCCCACTTGCAGAGGCTGCTGCCTACCAGTTGCCCCACTCAGGCAAGGCTTCCTGAAGTTCCAGCTGGAGCCCAGGACCTTTCCCACCCACTTCTGAGTCCAGGGCTTAGGAGTGAGAGCCATGACAGAATGACAGGCCAATCCAAGAGGAGAATTGAAAACAAGATTGACGTAACCCTTTATTGCAAATTCTAAAGTAAAAAGATGTACAGTACAAAGTAAAATTGAAATTTCAGACTATAAACCAATCCACTTATACATTCTCATTACTTAGCATTTCTGCCATTTCCGCATAAACAGAACTGGGAACAAGTCGAGGGGATGAGGGAAGGAGGTACAGCAAGGGGGAAAAATGTGGAGAATAATCAGAAACCCCAGAAGCAAGTGAAAGGAGAGACATTTCTCGACCTGCTGTTCTGGTGATGAGAAGCGGGGGTGGTTGGAGCAGTGCAGTTTAAAATGGCTCTCAGAATAGCAGCATTTATGGTACCATTTCATCTTCCTTAAGTCCAAATAATACTTTGCCCTTCCTAGTGCCTTTGCCTCTGTATCTCAAAACGCTTTACAAAACATTTAGTTAAAGCCTCACAACACCCCTGTGAGGTAGGTCAGTATTATTATCCCCATTTTACAGAYGGGGAAACTGAGGCACAGAGAGGTTAAGTGACTTGCCCAAGGCCACACAGCGAGCCAGTGGTCAAGCTAGGAATAGAACACAGCAGTTCTGTCCCTTTTCTGGAACCACTGGACCACGCTCCCCTTTACCTATATACACTCTTCACACACACACACACACCACATGTGCACACCCGCCCACCCCACCCCACTTAGCCTCTATGTACAGCAAACAGCAGTGGGGGGCAGGGGCAGGGAGTGCCTCAGGAGCATTTTCATAAAGGAAATCTTGGTAAACTTGAAAAGGGAATCCAAGAAAGCACAGAGCAGAGCCACAATGAAGACTCTGGTGCAAATCTTGGGCACCCCCCCCAACCAGATTTCCTCTTCTCTCCTGATGTCCCCCTGGTTGACTAGTTGCAGCTGATTCTTTAGGGGGTACCTGAAAATGAATGAAGCTTTTTGCAAAACTTTGGGCAACATCTGAGAAAAGAAAAGAGGCATCAGTACAAAAGATGCCCAGGACTCCATAACGCATGGCAATCTCACAGCCACAGCAGCCTGGAGGCTGGGGCCCCAGGGGCCGGGAATGGGAACTGACCTACCGGCCACATCTCCAGAGTGGAGCTACTGGAGCCAGCTAGAGTGGGCACTTCAAGATCCTCCTGAGTGTTCCTGGACCAGGAGACACAGCCTAGAGGGGGGTGTCCCTAAGCGGGGGGGTGCCCCCTTGCACAAATATGGACAGAACTAGTCTGCTGGTCTACCTGTGGGGGTGATGGAGGGCAGGGCCCAGCACGAGCTAGCAGAGCAGAGGCTGTTGGGCATTTTGTGCTTGCTCTAGCTTTGGAGCATGGGGGGTATTTTTTTTTTTTAAACACACTGATGAAAAAGGCAGAGGTGAGGCCAGTCCAGCTGGGTTGGCTGAAGTCATAGCTGAGGGCTCTGCCAGGTGGATTAGGTGAGAAGGGAGTTTTTAAGGGCCTCTAAGCACCAGCCTGGGGTGTGGGTACCACATGCAATGGTTCAGTGGGGATCTGGGAAGGTGAGGACCTGGCTTTTCTCTCCAATCTCAGTTTAGCCAGAAATGCGAGACCCTCTGGTGTCTCTCTCTCACCCGTTCCCCTTCTTTCCCCAAATGTGCTAAGGTCCCAGTTCCCAGACCCCTCCCGGACTCAAGAATTGGGACGGTCAAGCAACAAATGCACACCAAGACAGGCTTCCCTTGTACAGTAAAAAGGGTCATTTTTATTTTGTTTCCTTTTGGCTTATAGTAGTGATGTATTTTTTTTTTTAATCACGTCTCATTTAGGGCAGCGTTGGCCTCCATGCATTCACTAATACACTATTGGTCTTTTACAGTTTACATTGGTTGTGGCGAAAAAGAAAAGAACCCCCCGGGCACTGTGGCTCCAGGGGCTTTGACGGGCATTTCTRTTTCTCTGCCCCAGCAACTTCTGATGCCCAAAGCAACTCACTGAGGAAGGAGCAAGAGAAAGTTGTGTTGACTTGGAAGTTTTTTCTTTTCTCACCCTCTGCTTTAAATTATGGACTCTCCTTATCCTAAGCAATAAGGAGGTTAAGGACAGAAGAGGGGGTTTGGAAAGTGTTTTTCACGCACAAACCAGCAACCATGGCAGCTGCTGCTCAGTGGCTTTGGCTCTGCATTTTAAATTAACAGCATCACACATCTTTTTGCTTTTTGTCCTTTTTTTAAAGGTGGATTGTGGAGTATAAATACTGCACCAAGGACCCGGCTACAAAAAATAAATATATTATATTTATATATCTATATATATATATATGTGCAGTGATACTGTGGCTGCTGCTGCTTTTTGATTGGCTTTGTTAATATTTGGCAAAGCGTTGCCACTCACTCAGTGAGGGCGTGCAGAACGCCATCGCTGATTCTTTCAGTTCAATGCCTGTTAACTGCGGGTGTAAACTGCTGGTGATGGTGTCATTTACTACCAAAGAGGTGTGGAGCAGGATGGGTGAATGAGAGAGTAAGTGAGTGGGTGGAGGGATAGTGGGCGAGGGATAAGAGGTGGGAAAAGTTAAAAAAGAAAAGAAAACCACAAAACTTCAGATACAGCGGAGGTGGCTTCTTTCCTATGAAGTTGGCTGATGGGTGTCAGATACCAAGGCCCATGTGTTACTAAGGAGGTGGCCCGCTGGGCTGGGATCAGGAGTGGAGGGGAGGAAAAAGGTCAGATTTCAGAAAAATCTCATTAGTAGGCTCTAGTAGCTTAATGACATCACTAGCATGAGTGCTTGTTGTACCTAGTGGGACTGGATAGCTCTGTTGTCCATCTAAAGACCTAAGAACAATTAAGTTTAGCCAAATCTTGCATAGAAGTGGTTAGAATTTATTGCACATTGGAACAAAAATATATACKTTTTGTTGTTTTGGAAAAGACCAGTAGCAATAAAAAATTTTTTGTCTGTCTGTCTGGTTTGGGGATGTACATTGGCTGACAGCATCTAAATTCTAAGAAGAAAAAAAAAGTATAAAAAATAAAAATAAACATGACAATGGCGTAAGCCAGAAGCCATTTCCTATTTAATAAGTTAATTTGTATTTACAAAAAGGCATGCCAATAAAATAAAATTATATATTACAGTATTTATAATTCTCTTAAAAATAACCACACATGTCAGCTTCTGTTTTGTGCTGTTTACAATGCAGCCTGTACATGGTACTCTACATTCATCCTCGCAGTCAGCAGGAACACTGAAAGAGATGCCTTCCCAACCTGGTGTCAGGTGTAATACAAAACTCTATGGATGGCCGAAGAAGCAGGCTTAAGAGAGCTGGACAGTTTCTAATGGTCCAACAAGAAAGTTCTGCTTACTGACTTGCTGTGGTTTGTTCTATGCAAAACAAGTCAAGTGGACTGTGAAACTACATCCAAAGTACATCTACTGCAAGGCAGATTGGTATGTCTGATTATGGGTTGGGTTTTTTTCCCCCTCTATTGTATGATTCAGGAAGAATTTATTTTGATTTGATTCCCATGCTAAAGTCTTTCCTCACTCTTCAAACAGACTTCCTGAAACATTCAACTGCAGCATGTCGGCTTTGAAACCTAGTCACCAGATGAGATACCCCTGGTTTAGCACTGTCATCCATAGGGTAGGAGATGGAATGAAGATGACACTCCCCCAGAAGCCACCCTCCAATGACAATGGGCAGGTCTTTAAGCAGAGAGCAAAACTGGCTGAGAGGGAATGTGCTGGGGGAAGCTGGAACACCCTACAGAATTAATATTAAGTCACTTTCTCATGAAAACCAGTGCAGTAAAGAAACCAAGTGGGCTTGGTTCAGAGGCGGTTTCATCTACACCTCAGGTCCCAGCAGTGACTGTTGCTCTAGTAACAGTCAAAAGAAATCACAGCCATACCCAGTGCTGCAGCCCTCACCCAGCCCTATGAGGGTGGAAAGGGAAGCCCTGCTCAGTGGGGAAATGTGATGGAGGCAGGAGGACAGTTTCTAATGGTCCAACAAGAAAGTTGTGTGCAGGTGTGAGCTTGTGACAGCCCCTCTGGACAGTTCAGAAGATCTGAACCCTTCTCCATATTGACCCAAGCCCACAGAAAGCCACAATGCAGAAGGGCATGAAACTAGGTGAAGTGAGCACCCCATGACCCCCAAACAAAATGTCATTTTAAGTTCTCCAAAATACCTCCTAGAGATAACATGCTACCCTGAACAGCACTTTTATCTCTACCCCATTTAAGTGTCAGTTTTCCAGTATGAAGGCTAAACAATCATCATAAATATTGCAAAATACAAATGAACTTTTTTTTAGCCCTAGGATTTGGTTTTACAGTGACATTAATAGTACAAGCCATTCGGGATCAAAGTCTCCCCATGTACTAGACACAGAGCAGCATTAAATAGTTCATCTTGCAAAATGTGCAACAATGGCTGTATGTTAGAGATGTCTGTTAAACAAATACACGAAACGGATCCATCTGCTTGTTGGACTGGGATTGTTTTTTGTTTTTGGTGGTGATCAATTGATTGACTATGTTTCCCTACCAGAAGGTGTATGAAAGACTTATAGGAACTCATATAAAGAATTGCAGCCGGTATGGAACTCTTACCATTTTCTCCAAATACAGTGAACGGTGCAGGGCTGGGTCCTGTCCAAAGGCTGACCCAATGCAGGGGACAGGATTAGTAGTGTCCTGTGGTGTATGGATCTCATGCATGACTTCTGATCACGGCATGCCATCATGCAAATCATTTCTACGCATTGAACGAGCACAATGTTTGGAATTGGCCTGAGCAAGTCCTCCTCAGCCTGAAAAAACCTGATTGTTTTCCCCCACCCATCTCCAAAACACGTGAAGCCCATGTGGAGAAGATGCGGTTTATGTCAAAGAAACTGACAATTAAATGACATGGGCTAAATGTGAGTGTGTGTGTGTGTTTTCTTTTTGCTGCTTAGCTTAACTAATGTAAGAATGCAAATATAGTTTGCATGAACAAACAAATTTTTAGAGTGATGCTTTCTGCTTCTGAGAATCAACAAAATGAAAAAATAAAATCCATTTGGCTGCAACGGAAATATGCTGGTCCCGGCAGCCTCTCCTGTTTTTGTATCCTGTTAGTTTTGTCCTAAGTTGCATTGACTGAATGTGGAACATGCAGTAACCACCTGCCCAAGCAATAGAAAAATCTGTGAGTCCAGGGAGCAGGGTCCTTTGCCCTTGGCAGGTCACTGCTCAAGATGCAACTGTGTCACATGGTAAGCAGACTACATTTGGTATAGTTCTTCAGGTTACAGTGTCTCCACAGCTGTTCTGCATTGATAATATTCAGGAAGTTTGTAAACAATCTTTCACTTGCAAGTTTTAAACTGATATAACATTTCATTTTTGCTCTCCTCTAACATTTGGATTCTCTGACCTCTTTTTGTCTTTTGGCTCTTTCCCTTCTTCCTTCCTCTGCCCGCTGCTGTTTCTCTTTGTCAGGTTTAGTTACACTGTCATAGGATGGGAGGGAGGCTGTGGAGGGGGTGCTCTCCTTTTTCTCCCGGTGCGTACCTCCATTTTCAAGCTTATTGGAAGTCATCTTTTTGCAGATGAAGCCCCGCCTTGCCAAATGTCCCCGGTAGGCGCGCTGAAGGACCACTGCAGACACCTCCTCCTGCTTGCGCCGCAGTGTGGTAGTGATTGGCTCGTAAGACACTTTGGAAGGATTGGATGCCACGAACCTCTCCTCCATCTGCTGTCGCAGTATGTCCAACTCCCCGCTATCTCCTAGGACCCGCTTGGTGAAGGCAAAAAGGATGTCCAAACAGTGGATGCGATCCCCGCTCACCATTGGCAGATCCATGGCAATGAGCTCAATGGTGTTGGGCTTGGGCACTCGGAGAGGATGCTCCAAGGCATCTGCAAAGTCTGCCAGCTTACAGTACTCGATGAATTGGGTGGCATCGGGATCAAACTTCTCCCAGATCTCATAGAAGGTCTCAAAGTCATCCTCACTCAGAGGGTCTGCACTTTCTTCTGTGGCTACACTGAAGTTCTCTAAGATTATAGCAATGTACATGTTCACAACAATGAGAAAGGAGATGATGATGTAGCTTACAAAGAAGAAGATGCCCACTGAGGGGTTCCCGCAGTCACCCTTAAAGCCACTCCCTGGATGTTCCTTGTCTAGGCTACAGTCAGGGGGGCGGTTTAGGATGGGCAGCAGCAGGCCATCCCAACCAGCTGAGGTTGTGATCTGAAACAGGCAGATCATGCTGTTGCCAAATGTCTCAAAGTTAAACATGTCATCAATACCAGCCTCGTGCTTCACATATGCAAAATTGGACATCCCAAAGATGGAGAAGATGAACATGACCAGGAAGAGCAGAAGGCCAATGTTGAACAGGGCAGGCAAGGACATCATTAAGGCAAAGAGCAGGGTACGAATCCCTTTGGCGCCTTTGATCAGACGCAAAATACGCCCAATACGGGCCAATCGGATGACTCGGAACAGGGTTGGGGAAACAAAGTATTTCTCAATGATATCAGCCAGGAACATTCCTAAGAGAGGAACAGAAGAAGTTATTTTTCTGGGATTAGAGATGTCCATTTTCTTCTTTTTTTTTTTTTTTTTGGTACCTAGGGATTGAACTCCGGGGCACTTTACCCTTGAGCCCTATCCCCAGCCCTGTTTTTATATTTTATTTAGAGACAGGGTCTCACTGAGTTGCTTTGGGCCTCGCTAAGTCACTGAGGCTAGCTTTGAACTCACAATCCTCCTCCTCAGCCTCCTGAGCCACTGGGATTATAGGCATGTGCCACTGCATCTAGAGAGCCCTTTTCTTTTTTTTTTTTTTTACCTAACTGTGGAACTTTTAAGTTCAAAGTGCTTGTAGAATGAGTTCCTTATTACAGAATCTAAATTCTCAAAATAAGAAGACATTACATGTTTCAAACATCCAGAAAAGTAAGTTGGGCAGAGTGATGTAACAGTAATCCCAGCTACTCATAAGGCTAAGGCAGGAGGATTGCAAGTTGGAAGCCAGCCTATACAAACTTAGTGAGGCCCTGTCTTAAAATAAAATAAAGGATGAGGGTGTAGCTCAGTGGCAGAGTACTTGTCTAGCAAGCACCAGGCCCTGGGTTCAACTTCAGCTCTGCAAAACAATGACAACAACCAAAAACATAGAAAAGTAGAGAAAACTGATATAGACAACTATGTGCATGACAAACAGATTAGCATTTTACAAAATTTGCGCATTCTCTCTTCATTCTCAGAAGTATTCATAATATTTAAGTATCTTTTACTGTATAGTTTTACTATGCATAAACCCATAAATATTACACAGCATTCTACAATGTTTAGGAAATTATACTGAATCTTTTTAGAGCTCCAGCTTGTTTTTTTTTTTTTTTTTTTTGTGGGGATTTAATCTAGGGTGCTTTACCACTGAGCCATATCCCAGTCCTTTTCATTTTTTATTTTGAGACAGGGTCTTGCTGAGTTGCTGATGCTATCCTTGAACTTGTGATCTCCCTGCCTTAGCCTACCAAGTTGCTGGGATTACAGGTATGTGCCATCACACAGCACTTGTTTTAATTTATGAGATTGATCCCTTGTGTTAAAATAATTTTAGATTATTCACTTTAACAATTGAATGGTATTCACTTTTATAAGTAGGTCCTAATTTATCTGTTTTTCTATTTAAGGACAATGAATTTTTTACCACATATATGCACATAAAGTTTCCAAGGTGCTATAGATTGCTCTTCACAATGCCATCAAATATCCATTGCAGGCATGGTGGTGCATATCTGCAATCCCAACCACTCCAGAGGCTAACACAGGAGGATTGCAAGTTCAAGGCCAGCCTCAGCGACTTAGCAAGACCCTAAAGCAACTTAGCGAGACCTGTCTCAAAAAATAAAAAGAGGGCTGGGGATGTGGCTCAATGGTAAAGGACTCTTGAGTTTAATCCCCAGTACCAAAAACCCATATCTACAAACAATGAATGTGAGGTCTCAGTTTCCCGCCATACCATGCTACCCTTTGACTTTGATGTCTTAGATATTCTGCTAATGCCACTGATTTTCAAAGTATCTTTATATTGGTTCTGAAAAAACAAAACATCTTTCTTTGCCCATCCCTCTATCTCCTACTCCATCAAAATAGCCTAAAAAACTAAAGTGATAGCCCAGGAATGGCTTTCAACTCAGCTTTGAGATTTTGAGCTGCAACCCATAAACGAGAAACCAATTTTGGCAGGTAAAAATGCCATTGCTTTAAGGAGGATACACAAGTAGAGGTAAAATGCACACGTCAGAGGGCCTTTTCTACTTACACTTACCCACAGGTCCACCTCAACAAGACCACTTTGTCCTTAAAACTAAAGAACAACATGGGGAGGCCAACGAGGGACCACAGAAAGAGATCAAAAGGCTTGGAAAGAGAACCGAAGGGAAACGTGGACTATTCTCGTCTTCCAGTGCCGCCTCTTGCCATCCAGGCCCAATGAAACAACATGAGTTTCCATGGACAGGGCACGTTTAATTTAATGAAGGAAGTATCTTTTAACCATAAGATTTCATAAATATTGGGGCAGTTATCTGCAGAGGCTATAGAACCTCTTCTTTGAAGGTTTTAGGCTATGAAGGGTCAGAGAATAGGATTTTTCTTCAGGAGCTTGGATTCCATAGTGTTTGCACTTTCCAGAAAATCTCTACCTCATCCAGGACCAAAGACAATTTCTCAGTTCTCTTCTTTTTACTTGTCAATTAAGTAAAAAACCAGTAATCATAAGAAGTTAGGCAGTGTAACATCTATTGTAGTTGATATTGCAGCCTGTACATGGTGGGCAAGCAAGGCTTTAGAGAGTCAGCGATGCCTAAGTTTTTTTTTTTTTTTTTTTAATACTGGGGATTGAACTCAGGGGCATTCGACCACGGAGCCACATCCCCAGTCCTATTTTCTATTTTATTTAGAAATAGGATCTTGCTGAGTTGCTTAGCATCTTGCCATTGCTGAGGCTGGCTTTGAATTTGCTATCTTCCTGCCTCAGCCTCCAGAGCTTCTGAGATTACAGTGTGTGCCACTGCGCCCGGCTCTGAGTAAGAATGAAAGGATGAACCTATATCTATCCCCACAGAAGGGAGACAGAAATGGGACAGTCAGCAATCCAGGCAGTGGGTACTTTAAGGGATACTTCAAGGGGTACTTCAGGTGGTTATAGAGCTAGTTAACACAATTCCTCTTTTTTTTTGGGGGGTGGCGTGTGGGAACTGGGGATTGAACTTAGGGATACTCAACTATAGAGCCACATCCCCAGCCCTATTTTGTATTTTAGTTACAGACAGGATCTCATTGAGTTGCTTAGTGCCTCACTTTTGCTGAGGTTGGTTTTGAACTTGTGATCCTCTTACCTCAACTTCCCAAGCTGTAGGATTTCAGGGGTGCACCACTGCGCCGGGCTCAATTCCTTTTAAGAAAGAGTTTCTATACTTGTTTCTGAATACATTCATATGTAGAAAAAATCCCCATCATTAAAATATTACTACTCTCTCTCTTATTTTGGAGGGCCATCTGAGCACAGGTGGCCTGACTTCATCTATGGATTTTCTATCCCACTCAATAGTGGGTGGGTAGAAAAGCGGACAACACCTACATTGTCCAGTGTGTTTTGTGGGAAGTTAGGCATGGACTTCCAGTGGGGGGCTGGGATTGAACCCCTACTTGATCCCTACCTGCTGCCCGTCTCGGGTCCTTGTCTAGACCTCAGTTCCTCATGCTACTTAGAGGCTTGTTTGAGGGCTATATGGTAGCACACTTGAAAGGCACATGGAATGCTGACCAGCTGACAGTACATTCCATTGAAACATGAGCTATTATTACTTGAATGACGGGTGCTATGGTCCAATGAAGGTGGATGGTGTGATAAGCAGAATTGTTTCCTGTAGGGACTTCCTAAGAGAATTCAGTAGGCTAACGTGTGTGGTGACTTTCCAAAAGGAAATTTCATGTATAGTGTTGCCTGAAGTAATTCCATTGTGGGATTCTTTGATTGGTGAGAAACGTATGGGATTAGTATTGTATGTGTCAACACACTTTTGGACATGCTGCTCTGGAGGACAGAATTAGAGGAGGCACAGGCTAAGGAGGCCAGCTGCCTCCTGGTAAACCCTGGAGCTCTGGGGCTGGTTTCTGTGAATCTTCTGCATTTGGTCTTTGTTGGGACAGGTCAGTCATGCCTATGTGGAATCAAAGCAGAGTTTCACATGGTTCAGGATGCCTTTCAGGAAGGTGGGGAAATGTTTTGGGAGGGTAATCAACAGGGTAGCATTTCTTTCAGCCCACCTACAGAGACATCATCCCTTCTATTCTTTTAGGTTGAAGCAAAACATAAACTTTGGGACCAGCCTGAGTTCTGCCTCTGGTCGCCTCTGTGGAGGGACCTGTACATCTATTTTGTAAAGATGACAAAACAGCCTGCCTCCTGGGCTATCATCAGATCCAATGAGACATGTGACTAATTCTCAAGCTGTACCTAGCCCACAGAAAAATCTTAGCAGCAACAGCACTATCAAGACCCATCGCCACGAGAAAATTTTCCTAGACAATTTCATTAATACCCATCTTAACTACCTCTGGCCATTCCATTTCTCATTTCATACCTTTGGTGCTCAGGGTTGAACCCAAGGCCTCAAACATGTTAGGAAGTATTCTACCACTGAGTTACAGCCTCAGTCCTTTTATTTGTATTTTTTACTTGGCAATCCTCCTGCCTCAGCCTCCCAAGTTACTGGGATTACAGGTGTGTGCCACTGTGCCTGGCTCCCATAGATGTATTTTTAAAAACATTTAACCTTCCCTTGCTTAAATTTTTTGAAAGCAAGAACCAAATCATATCTTTCTCTTCCCCAGAGTCACAGCATTTACAACATAGTAGGAACTCACTGACTACATAATCTGCTAGGCAGACCCATGAGATATCTTAGGGGTATGGGCTTAAGCTAAGAGGACCACCTACCTGCCTGCACCTCAGACCTATGTAACTCATTGCTACCCCAAGAATCTCATCCTCAAAGCCAGTCAGGCCCTTTCCATTTCCCTTGTTGCCCTGCCCCACTCACCCACAATGGACAGGATGACCACCACGAAGTCGAAGATGTTCCAGCCAATGGTGAAGTAGTAGTGCCTCAAGGCAAACATTTTGAGCACACACTCACAGGTGAAGAAGATGACGAAGACCAGATTAATCCAGTAGAGAATGTTCTCCATCTGTTTGCTCTGAGTATCTGTCTCCACCATCATTGTCACCATATTAAGGCAGATGAGCATCATGATAACAATGTCAAAGGCTTGTTGAGTGACAAAATCAAAGACGATACCTTGGATTTTGTTCTGGGGAAGAGGGGGAGATACAATAGGATTCATGAAAGACTTCCCATGCACACCTGGGGAAGCCACTGCCCTATTCAAGGAAGCAGTCTCTACCATCTTCTCTGTCATACTGGCCAGCTCCCTCCTGCGGCTCTATGGGGAGCATGACAGAGACTGACATCAAGATTGCCTCAGCTAGAGTTTGCTCGAGTTGCCATTCTTCCCTCTTGAACCTATGGTGTCAAACACTTTTGAGATCTTCCTACTTCCCTGGCTGCCCCGTAGTCTCATCTGTTGGCCATCTCTCAATCTCTTTTCTTTCTTGACTGGAGAGCCCACTTATTCCTACTGTTTACACCTATCTACTACTTGAGCTTCTCAGTCTCTCTCCCTGATGATTCGTAAACGTCTTAAACTTACCAGGTCCAGAGCACAGCTGAGTCCTTTCCCTTTCCCCTCATGTGGCTTGTTCTGCTTCTCTCAATTATTCATCTGTCTCTCAAGCCAGAAATCTAGAGTCCCCTGTTTTTTTCTTCTCTCTCATACCCCAATGCCCTGAGAGTCACTGACTCTTCCTTTAAAGAACTCGGTTGGGCCTGCTTCATTGCCTTTCCAGTGGCTAAGGTTGGAGGACTAACCTTAGCCACATCATCACCTGTACTTCTCTAAAAGTCTCTTAGCTGGTSTCCCAGCTTCCTTTGTTGCCCTCATCCAAAGCAGTCTCCACACATTGGTGAGTGGGACTGTTTAAAAACATAAATGAATCACATCATTCTCCCACTTAAAACCTTTCAATAGCTTCTCACCCGCTTGCCACAAAGGTCCTATTGTTAACTTGGCGGAGAGATGCCTTCACAGTCAGATGTTACTTGTGGCCTGTTACTAGCATTTCCTGCTTCTAGAGCCTTGTTTGCTTTTCCAGGAATCACTTTCCCCACCAGAGAACACCTTCCTTGATGAGGCTTTCTCTGACTACTCATGTAGAAATAGATCTGCCCCCACAACCCTCCATTTTTCTCTGTTATGGTTCTCCAGTTTTTTCTTTCTTCAATGTTTGCCTGCATTTTATTATAGCTGCCTGCTTTTTTTTTTTTTTTTTTTTTGGTACCTAGAGGTGATTTATCACTGAGTTATATCCCTAGCCTTTTTAATTTAAGACAGAATCTCACTTAATTGCTGAGGCTGGCTTTGAACTTGTGATCCTCCTGCCTTAGCCACCACCCAAGTTGCTGGGATTTCAGATGTGTGCCACCATGCCCAGCATACCTACTAACTTTTATAGTTTAATGTGGAAGAAAATATACTTAGGTTTCCAAATGTAAACTTGAGAAATGTTAATCCTTTAATATTCCCTTTAGTTCCATTTCTATCACTAACTGGAAAGTCTTAACATCATGGAAATAAAAAAAATTAATAAAAAAAATTATTATCTTTTTAAAGATTCCCCTGATATTTTATATTTAAAAGCACCAAGGCACTTGGGCTACCACTTATTTTCAGGATTACTTTAACTTGGTGGTTTCCAAAATGCTCTGCAAACCCCTGGGCTTCTTTTCCCTCAGTGGCTATGGAGGAGTATGCCAGAAACAACTGTGGGGTCAGGGAAAAGCAGGCGGGAAAGCCAACTGCTGGTTTAAACAAAGGAGTTCTACTTTTATTAGTCAAATTAGACTTCCACCTAAGCTTTGACTGTAAGTGTTCTGCTGCCTTTTTTTTTTAAGTTACTTTTTTTTTAAAGAGAGAGAGAGAGAGAGAGAGAGAGGAGAGAGAGAGAGAGAGAGAGAGAGAGAGAATTTTTTAATATTTATTTTTTAATTTTGGGGGGACACAACATCTTTGTTTGTACGTGGCGCTGAGGATTGAACCCGGGCCGCACGCATGCCAGGCGGGTGCGCTACCGCTTGAGCCACATCCCCAGCCCCCACCCCCCTTTTTTTAATTACTTTAAATGAAAGTTAGAGAAGAAGAAGAAGAAACCTCGAGGCTTTTGGAGATTATGACCCACTCAGCTTGTTTCTCTGAAACAAGAGAACAACAACCCATGAAGGGTGAGGCTGAATTTCAGCCCCAATTCTGTTGGAGAGAGGAAATCCAGGTCACGGGACTCTCCTACTTTCACTCTTTCTGCTCTGACAGCCAGAAGCATTGTTTTAGCTCCCAGACATCCTGCCCACATGTCTGTTGGGCACAGAGGCTGAGAAAACGATGACCAAATCTTGAAGTCTTGAAGTGGCAGGAAAGGAATCAGCTTTTGTTCATTTTTGGTTGTCTGTTAAAAGATCTCTCCGCTGGGGTTGTGGCTCAGGAGTAGAGTGCTCGCCTAGCACGTGTGAGGCCCTGGGTTCGATCCTCAGCACCACATAAAAATAAATAAATAAAGATATTAAAAAAAAAAAAAGATCTCATTACCTGGGCCAGAGTCAATGTGGTAAGCATGCCAGTTCTCTGCTGCTTCCCAAGGAGGGAAGAGGAGTGGCTGAGAGGAGAAGTCAAGCATGATGTAGAAGTCAGGCCACACTGTAATCCCTGTTCTGCCACCACCTTACTCTGATCTTTTGGATGGGGCAGCTTGGAGAAGATCAGTGGATACCAGGCAATCACTTTTTGCCTTCTTTGCAGTAACCCTAGCAGTGTCTTCCCAGATAGGTTCTCACTATGTTCTTGGTCTGCACAATGTACTCACCAAGGGGCGGGGAATGGGTTTCTGTGGTTTCTTTGAGCCCAGCTTTTTCATGGCATTGTAGTACTTCTTCTGTTCCTCAGTCATGAAGATATCCTGACCTCCAAAGTAAAGGAGGGAAAAAGAGAAAAGCAATTACAACTGGTGCTCATAGGCCTGGTTCTGGACCAGGTTCTGGATCAACACTGAGAACTGACGGAGACGTATCCATTTCCTTTCCAGAGGTCAGGTTAGTGGCTGCCTGTCCCAGAGTGAGATAGATCTAGAATGATTATTCTAATTCAAAGAGATAGCTACCTTTCAGCTCAGGATTTCTGAGATTTGCCAAGCTAGGTAGGAAGGAAATGGACTATCTGGTTACAGACCCTCAGGGAAGGGTAAACCTCAGAGCAAAGGTTTACATCTCGAATCTCACAGTCTCATAATAACATTTTTGGCCTGATTTCCTGATAAGCTTCTAGGAAAAAAATTCTATTTTTATTTTTTGGTATGTGAGGATTGAGCCCAGGGGTACTTTACCGATGAGCCACATTCCCAGCCTTTTTAAATTTTGAGACAGGGTCTTGTTAAGTTGCTTAGGGCTTTGTTAAGTTGCTGACTCATGGCCCACTTATTTTAGATGACATTCAAAATTTGTAAACTCTAGTGCAAGAAGGCAGTTTAGAGAGAGTTTTCTGAAGTTTGTTGGGCACAATTGACTTACAAAACGAATAAAAAGGGTAATCTTTTCAATTTGGGGGGGGTACTGGGGATTAAACTCGCTGAGCCACATTCCCAGCCCTTTTTAATATTTCATTTATAGACAGGGTCTTGCTGAGTTGCTAAGTGCCTCGCTAAGTTGCCACGACTAGCTTTGAACTCTTTGAACTCCTGATCCTCCTGCCCTAGCCTCCCAAGCCACTGGGATTACAGACATATGCCACMACACCCAGCTTCAGTTTGTTTTGAAAAAAACTGTTAATCATCTGAGATAAGTAAGGAAGTGAACTTTCCAGGGTGGCCTTTCAGATCCCAATTACCAGAGATTAACATGGATGATGACAAGTCTGGGCAATTTCTGCTTCACTGCACTACTCATCCGATTCTTTCTGGAGCGGAGGCTCTCTCTGCCCCTAACTCCCTCTGGTGGAGTCAAGACCAGTAGTAGGCCTTTCGAGTACAAGACTGCTAGTAAATTCAGTAAATCACATGTTGCAAAAGCCAGCCCTGAAGAGGAAGAGTTGGTTGGGGTTAATGTACAGTGGAGCCAGTGTCACAGTGAGGTGACAATTTGGATTTTAGAGAAAACAAAGAGGGGTCTTTTCTCTGTAGTGACAGGGACAGAGGGCCTCTCATCTGAGTTGACCACTGGCAGTGAGGGGAGGAGACCTATCTTTTTCTTTTGTTGATTGAAGTTATCAATGATGACACCAATGAACAGATTCAGGGTGAAGAAGGAGCCGAAGATGATGAAGATGACAAAGTAGATGTACATGTAGATGTTGTCCTCATACTTAGGCTGTTCATCAGGCTGTCAAAGGACAGGAGAAAAGGACGAGAGTCAGCTTGCAGCCTGGCGATCAGGTGGGTGACTCCCACATGCCAAAGCCATCAGCTGTGATTTGCTGTCTGGGCTACTGAACAAACTGGGGATGGGAGAGACCTAGCTTCTTTCAGCCCGCCTCCTTCTCCACACWGGCAGCTCAGAGGACCCTGACAGCATTTCTGCTGTGACTTACTGGGAGAATATGCAAATCGCGAGGTAAAGGGCAGGGGAGGGGTGCCTGTTAGGAGCCACACTTTTATTTCAAGACAGGACTGAAGAGTAGACAGCTCTGTTGGGGCCGAGTATAAAAATCAACTGTCTAATCATCTGTAGCCAATGTGAGAGAGCGAGGACTTACTGAGAGGAAGAAAATGATCTATAATCAATAAAACAAGCAATTAACATTCCAAACAGAAATTTTGGTGCCTCTATTCCTCCCACCCTTTCTCTTTGATGATTCCACCATGCTGCCTGCTTTCTAACCAACAAGGTTCTGTTCCACCATGTACATTCTTACCTTTCGGGAATCTACAGCTGCATACATGATGTCCATCCAGCCTTTGAAGGTTGCCTGGCAAACAGAGTCAGTCATTAGATTGTGCCTGTGAGGGAGTGGGAGGAGTCTACGCAGGAGTCCCAAAGGCCAACAGTAAGGACACAGGACAAGGAGTTTGGGTAAGTCTCATATGGACATAGGGTTTCCTTTTGTTTGTACAGGGCCCAATGGGGCTTTGAGTAAGTCCCTGAAAATAACATTAGAGTTTGGCAACAAAACATGTTGACGATGGTAAGTGATTGATGACTTTCACCTAAGGTCTTAAGATGTGTTTGAAAAGACTGCCTAAAGCCAGGGCAAATGCAGATTTATAAACAAGTGGCAAGAATCTACTCAAGGTGCTTATTAGACTTTAGCCTTCCACTGAGGAGCTGTTTTTTCAAAAAGTGTTTATAAAGCAATGGGGGGGTGTGTCTGAAAAATTCACAGTTTCACTAAAAAAAAAAAAAAAAAAAAGACAACAAGGTCAGAACTTATCTCTTACTAATAAACACAAGTAGCCTGCAGTATGGCAATCCTGGTGGCATCCTTGATGCCAATTCCAATTAATACCCCTTTTCAATTCTCTTTGTCTCCTATATCTAGCATGACTTTTGGAAACAAAGATGGATAATCAATTTAATATCTTCATGTTTAACTTGTTCAGCCAAATTCTAAGCTTTTTCAGGGCACAGGACAGTGTCTTTATTCACCTGATGGTCCTATTGCTAAGCACAATGTCTTGCTTATGGTGGGGACTCTGAATACCGTGTCTGACTAATATTTTCTGGAGCTGCTCCAGTTCAGATTCAATTTGTGGGTTCCATTTTTTTGAACTGGGGTAGAACAGCAAAAGAGTTTTGAGGTAGGATATGATACAGCTCATTCCCCTAACTTTTGCCTCCTCTTCCTAACAGTGAGTGCTTACTGTGTTAGGTTAGGGTGAAAGCTTCATTTGCAATTTCACATTAAGTATTCACAACAAGTGAATGATGTGGGTATTACAATCATAGTAATGAAAACACATAATAGCCATTATCATAATTAAGCTCTGCTATGTGCTGAACATTATGCTAAGATATTTTTCAAGTATCATGAATTCTTTTTTTTTTTTTGGTACCAGTGATTGACCCCAGGGCAACTTTACCACTGACCTACATCCCTAGTCTTTTCATTTTTTATTCAGAGACAGGGACTTGCTAAGTTGCTTAGGGCCTTGCTAAGTTGCTGAGGCAGGTCTTGAACTTGTGATCCTCCTACCTCAGCCTCCAGAGTTGCACAGGTTGCACCACTGTGCCTGGCTCATGAATTCACTTAACAACCATGTAGAGTATTATAATCTACATTTAATTGATGAACAAACTGAGGAATAATTTGTACCAAATTGAATATCCAATAAATATCAGATTACATCTGTCTGATTCCAAAGATTATGAGCTTTTCAATGCATCAACTGTCTTGTCAAATATTCCAAAAAACTGGCGACAGAAGAAGAGAAAACTAGGCATGATGGAATGAAGTTAGGCAAGAGAGACTTATCTACATCATTAAAACACATTTCTCCATATTATCCACATTAGCCCTTTTTCTGGGGTTGAGCTGTCAGAGCAGCAGAATCACAGCACAGCCGCCTTTAGCATAGCTATTATGTAGGATTCTTCTTCATCAAAATTGCCCTTTTTATTTGTTTTCTTGACTTCTTTAACTACAATTCAGAGCTGGGGAGAGGTGAGCTACCACTTTATTATGTTGCAGCAAGTTTTAGTTTTGCTGAGTAGGTCTAGTTCTGAGCACAAAGAGAGAGGTTCCTTTTGAATGAGATCTTGTGGAAGTCAGAATATACAGGAACGATGTCTCCCTGAAACTGGTCTGGGAAATGATATTGCTCCCTGTTTCAGAGTAATTCCGATTCTGAAAGTAGGGTTGAGAAGGAACCAAATGAAATTTCTGCTAGCTGCTTGAATTTCCCAAGATTGAACAAATAATAATACTTACTACTTGAAGAAGGGCCAGATATCCTGCCCCCACGTTGTCAAAATTGATCTTCACGTTCTTCCACCTGATCTCTGTGTTGTTCCCCTCCATGAGCTTTTCACATTCAGTTTTATTGTTGACATCTTCGATTTCAAATCGGATTTCAGAAGTCTCATTAAAGCAGTAGTGGTATTTCCCCGCAAACAGGTTAACTCCCATGATGCTGAAAATCAGCCAGAAGATGAGACACACCAGCAGCACATTCATGATGGAGGGGATGGCGCCCACCAAGGCATTCACCACCACCTGCATTGGAAGGGGAGGTTGCTGAGTGTTGGCAGGAAGTGAGGGAAGCACATTCTTTTGATTTCCAGGAGGGGAATGACATTTGTGTGGCTTTTCTGCTATGGAAATGTGTTTTCTTTGCGCTTAACTATTTTCTTTGCAATAACTGGACAGATCCACAAATAGGACCAAAAATTTCTAAGTTTGTGAACAACATTTTGGGGAATTTTAATAAATTGCATGTTGATTTCAACTAAAACAAACTCCCCTGCCCAAGTTGACCCTGATCATCTCTTCTAGGCACCAACCTGGGACAAAAAAAAAAAAAAAAAAAAAAAAAAAAAAAAAAAAAGAAAAAAGAAAAAAAAAGAGAAAAAAAAAGAAAAAAGATTTCTTAGTCCAGTCTCCCTCCTCTTCAACTTGTAAAATAAACCCCCATGGAAAAAATCTGAGCAATTGCAAGCTTGCTAGTTGCCTTTCAACACATTCCCCCTCTGAAAAACAAGGCATGATTGTTCAAAACCACAGAGAGCTGCCCTTTGGGTTAGCAGTGAATCACTCAACAGTACATAACGTCTCTTTTATGACTATGCAAGGCCAGTTATCTTTCAGGCAATAGCTGAGCATGCATATTTTGCAGGCTCAAGAAAAAAAAAGCTATATTCCCTCTACCAAACAGTATAAAATAAAATCTGAACAAATGTGCTTTCTACTCAAGGTTTAGTCTTCAGCCTTTTTTTTTTTTTTTTTTCCCTGACTTTGTAGGCTTCTAAATCTACGAGCTGCCCAGTGTGGCTAGTGTTGATATCTGTCTGCTTAGTTCAGGGCTTGACTGTTCTTCACAATGTATTAGAGATCAACATGACTTTTTTTTTTTTTTTTAATAGTTTTGGGTTAGATCACTGCTCTTGAAACTAAAAAAAAATGACATGTTGTTAAAAAATCACTGACTACAGTCTCAAGAATTTTTTTTTTTTTATAAAAAGGGCAAAGGAAAAAAAACCCTTAGGAATAGATGTTTCTGGGTTGTTTTAAACATGGACTTTGCTTTATACTAGAGGTGACAGTAGTCAGACAACAACTCTACTGTTGCAGCAGTTTTCACTAGTAGAGTTCGAGTGCTTACAAAGGTAACATTTCTAGTGATGGAACAGGAAACAAGGCTAGTTTCATCTCTGCCAACTTTCACTAGTGATGTCTTAAGCAGGGTTGCTAAGGCTCAGAAGACTGTTTCTTCCTTTTTCTAGTACTGAAGAGGATTATGGAGTAGAAAACAAAGACATTGGATATAAATGAATTGTGTTTTTTCTGATGTTTTGTTTGGAGGAGGTGACACGTGTTTCCAAGTTCCTGCATCTGTTTTTTGGTACAGGTAAGAGATGACAGGCTGCCAACTAGCTACAGCATGGGAGAGACAGGGAGGTCATGCTGTATGAGGAACGCCAGGGGGCAGCCCTGGGCTCTAACTTGAATCCTACTSGGTTTTGTCTTTTGTTTTTGTCTTAGACTGCACTGTCATTCATCAGAACACATGGCTGAGAAGAACTACCTGTTCTGTCCTATATCAAAAGGCAACAATATTCTGCTAGGACTCACTCTGTCTTTGATATTAAAATACTCATCTTGTGATTCTCCAATTCACATATGAAGGCCTTTAGAATGAGAGGCAGTTATTTCTTAATTCTTAGACCAAGAAATCTCTTCAAGATCTTATAACTCTGGCATTAGTATAAAATATTTATTACTGTGAGCAAGGAAAGCTAGAATATCTGAAATCCAGAAAATCTTTAATGTTATTTTGGAGAATGCTATTTACTTTTATGAATTTATGGTATCAAATTTGTCAGATAATCAGATTTAAATTTTACCTTCTCATTCTACAGTTGTTCACCCTTTGGTTAGGGCACCAAAAAGCAATGGAATGTGCAAAAGAACAAGCAAAAGGCAAATGATCCACAAATGGAATAATCATTTCTCAAACAATAAGAGTAGATCATGTAAAGATTCAAAAGCTCAAGTCTATGTGACAGCATTTTGCAGCAGTTTAGGTGAGAGATCATGATGTTCTATTAGACAACTACCAGCGTAAAGTTGGGAAGTAAGCCCTAAAAATGGAAACCTGAAAATATTGTTTTTTTTCCCCCTCAATTCAGAAACTTCAGGAATTCTCACTGTACAGTCAATCTGTTTTGTTTTGTTTTGGTTTTTTTTTGGTACAAGGGACTGAACCCAGGGGTGCTTAACCACTAAACCACAATCCCAGCCCTTTTTAAAAATATTTAAGACAGGGTCTTGCTAAGCTGCTTTGAACTTGCAATCCTCCTGCCTTAGCCTCCGAGATGATAGGATTACAGGCATGCACCACGGTGCCTGGCTATACAGAGAATCTTAAACTTCTATTTGAACCCAGTCTAACCCATCCTACACGGTATCTTAAGTCTTACTGTTAAATATGGATAATATTTTCAGCAGGGAAGAATAATCAACTAAGTGATCTCTGAACTTTAACATCATAGATCTGATCAAAGGACTCAAAACACAAAAATATTTGCTGAGGATTTGCTGATGACATAAAAATCCTGTAAATCTGATACTTTTTTGTGTATGTGTGCACATACATTCACTCATGGTATTGGGGACTGAACTGAGGGACACTCTACCACTGAACTATATCTTTAGTTTTTTTTATTTTTATTTTTTGAGACAGAATCTTACTAAGTTGCTTAGGCTGGCATGGAACTTGTGATCCTCCTGCCTAAGCCTCCTGAGCTGCTGGGATTACAGGCGTGCAATACTGCACCCAGTTAATCCAATGTATTTGTAATGTGCAAATATATATTTATCAATCACAACCAAAGAAAATCTCCTCATCTTAGATTTATAAACAAAACAGTAAAGAGTTGATGGAATTAATAGTTCTTCCCTGCTGTGAACATTAGCTGATAAGCTACAAAATATTACACAGAAATTATTTAACTGTGTCCCATATAGAAATGTCATTATGCCATTATTCTCAGTAACTAAAGGGAAGAAACCAGGTTTATTATTTTAAACTTTTACACTAAAGATATATTATAAAGGACAATTCAAATTTTCACTGATACTCACTTAATAATTGGATTTCTTTTGCTCTTGCTACTCTCTAGTTATTTGACATTGCCCTTCATGATAATGAAACCCATTTTTGTTAAAAACTAGATACAGTATAGAAATATTACTCAAAGTTAGGTTCTAGCAATCTATAAAGTTTTTTTCAATGGAAATTTGTACTTAGTGTTGGACATAAATCTTACCTAAGATTTCTTGACATGTTGTTAAAAAAATCACTGACTACAGTCTGAAGAATTAAAAAAAAAAAGGGAGAAAATTCCAATGGATACTAATTCTTACAGTATTTTTATCTTCTCTATAATGCCTAGGACATTTTTGTTCATTAAACACTATAAAATCCATCAAATAGCTTTTAATATCTGGCAGAGGGAACATGGCTTTAATGGACAACTATGTACTGACAATCAACAAAAAATGCATGCATGTTTCATAGCATTACTATTGTATACTTTCAAAAATTTAATAGCACAGCAATATCTTTAAATAAAGATTACTATGGAGGAGAGAAAAGCAAAGAACTACATTAAGTATTCCTTTGCCAACAGCAGGAGTGTTTCAATTTTTCTGATCTTTGGTTTGAGGAAGGAGAGAGGAGACTGAACGAGTATCCCAGGACAGGCCGGGGTCATATGCTCCCTCTCAAGTGAAGGTCTGAGTCTATAATTGGAGCAGCACAGTGACAGTTGAGCCCATCTGCACGGATGGTATTCAGTTCATGAAGGTTTCTTACTTAAGGTTTTCTAATGGTAATCTTGCAAGTGTTGGCATACAGAAGAACCCAAGCTAAAGAATGAAAAACACATTCCTCTGTAGAAAAACAAAATTTATGTGAAACATATATACTTAGTTCTATTTATCACTGGGAAACTTAAGCTGGGTCAAATGAAATCTCTTCTGCGGTTACTCTTCCACAGAAGGGCTGGGAAACTGCCTGCAGGAATAGATCCTGACCTCTCTCTACCTGCCCAACCAGCCCTGGTCAGTAATGTTGACTGACGGCAACAACCCAATAAGGTGGCACCTCTACACCAAAGTTTCCCTCACTGAATGTTACTGTTTTAAATTGCAGCTTTGGGTTCAAACTTGTTTTTGCCCATATTATTTTATTTGAAAAAAGCTTGAGGTAGACGATTTTCATTAAAAGTTTCTACTGTTTTGATTATCCATTCTGAATGATCTGGATCCATTTCTAAGCTATTTGAAAGTTGATAAGTTTCCCAGGGAATGAAAACTGAGAGTTCAGGGAAGGTGGGGAAAAGAGGAACTAAAGGGAAAAGGTGAGGCTACTAAAAGGGCTCCTGCATCAGATTATTTAACTGATTTCCTCATAAGCAAACTGGCGCTCAGTGGGGACTACTTTCTGCTACAGGGACAGCAGTAAGCAACCAGAAAGTTAGTAACAAGTGTTGGTTGGGCATTTTGGGGCAATGAGTAGAGGCTTTAGGTATTACCAATCCCTTTTAGGAGATCCAGGATCACTGCTGAGACTGTGGGGGCATTACAGGCTACTGAGCTCAGGCACAATGTTGAATAAGCATCATCTCTAAAGGCATTTATTTAGTTGCATCTTGTCCACAATTTTTCAATCACTAAAGTGAATTATTAACTCTATAACAACACTATTATAATTTATTTAAAAATTTATTCCTTATGAAAAACATGGGAAAGCCAGGAAGTAGGGATGAGCATTTTAATTCTATTTTCAACCACGACCATTAAAATCACCGAGTCTTGTCTCTCTCTCTACATTTAGTCTGATCCTAATAATGTCCTCATTGCACACATTCTGAAGCCTCTCTTCTCTGTGGGACACTTAGCATCCCCAACTTTTTCTTTAATAATAAAAATAAATTTATACTGCTGTTGGAACTGCCCTTCCTGCAGATGGTTTTTAGGACTACAGAAAAAGCTCACGTTTAGTAAACCAAACTGTGACTGTGCTACAGAAGAAACACCAGTTTATTGCAAAAAGCATTTGTCTGAATACACTAAAATAGTAAGATAAAATTCCCACGTCCCAGTGAAATTTTCACCTTCCTGTGCAACTGTGAGTGGCTTCATGGAATAGCAGCCAGAGATCACAGACGAGGAATAAATGGAGCAGCACTGTCCTGGTATCTAGTTTCTCCAATCAGTCTTGCTTCATGTGAACTATTGCAACAGTTCAGTTTTATTCCTACATTCTGATATTTGCACACTTAAGAACTGATCCTCTGGTTTGCTCTCCTGCATGTATTCAACTTCTGAATTGAAATGAGTTTTCTTGGTCTCGTTAAGTATAACAGACCTCTCTTGTTACAACTATGATCACCAAAACCAGCTGTCCACTTGATTTTAGGACATTGACTTTTTAGTGTGAGTGTGTACACACATGTGCACATACGCACAATTATCAAAACCATAAAAGAAAAAGGCACCAGAAGAGGGAGCCTTATTCTGAGTTGGCAAGGTGACAGCCCCTGTACTGTATATATTCGGGTGGAGTATCGCCAAAGTAGGAATAGGAGGACTTGAGAAATTTCAGGAGAACTAATTGGTATTCAGTCCTCTAGCATCATCCCTGTTTGTTGTTTTGACAGTATTAGGATAGTGGACCATATAGCATGGGCAGAGGGGTGGGGGTGAGGAGGAAAGCTTTGCTATCAGACAGTGGCTGCCAGTCCTTATGGGACTGGGCTGAGAACAACAAGGTGCAAAAAGAGGAATCAGAATAGAAAGAAAAGCATTTCTTCTCCCAGGGCCATGCCAAATTCTGCTCCATCCCCAATTCCAAGCCTGCCATGTGTCTTCAAACCCCCTCTCTGCTGTTTTCTCAGTGACTCCAAGGCCACAGTCCCCACCTGGCTAATGCCCCTACACAGCACTCTTCCTGCCTGCAGCCTATGCTTTTCAGTGGGTCTGTGGGTTATAATTCCCCTTCTTTGCACCTGGTGATTCTCCCTATTAAATCAACAGCCCAGAAAGCCGCCCCAAGTGCTACAGGTAAGCCAGGCCAAATGAGAATAGCCAATGTTAACATGTTCTGCGATGGCATGTTGTTGGGAGTGGGGCCAATATTAATGTGATGAGGCAGCTTAATGCAACTCCCCTGCGCACGGGGCTGGTGCGGGGGATAAAGAGTGGAGGATCAAATCGGCAGCTGCATCACAGAATCCGTGTTTGAATGATCTTTCCACCATGTGATCAGTTCTAGCATGCTTAAACAGTTTCCATTGGCATGCAGAAGGATCAGCTGCTCTTAGTATCTTACCCTCATCCCTTCAAATCGTGATAAGGCTCTTAAGGGTCTCAAAGCTCTTAGGGTCCTAAGGGACTTTATGGCACCTAGTTCCGAGTAGCCCAGGGCATTAGCTATAAGGCTGACTAAAGAGACCTACACGGAAACAGAAGAGAAAAACAAAAACAAAAAAGGAAACAAAAAGAAAAAAAAAGAAAACAGAGGTTCCAGAGTGTTAGAATAAAGCCCCTAGCACTGAATTACACAGATTGGGCCCCCCAGGTGGAGCAAGTGGGTAACACCAGCTGCCTATTTCAACTTGACTCAAACGACCTGGAAGGAAAGGTGGTTGAGAGAGGCAGAAGAAAAAACACAAAGGGAAGAATAAATTGAGAGAAGGCGGTAAAACATACACACAAGTTGGAAAGGGAAGAGGCTGAAGGGAGAGGGAGAGAATGAGGAAGTTCCATTGGAAGGAGAGGAGCCTGAAGAGATGACAAGAACCTTACCCTCGCCCTTTACAGTCTCTGCAGGTCCCAGAAGTTCCCATTAAATTAAGCCAGACAAATTTAATGGTACCTATGGAAAAGAATACAGATAAATACACATACTCCACACAAGCCGCCCCCTCCTCTGCTCATTCACCATGGGATTTCCAACAGGGACAAGCTCTCTTACTCCTGGTTGACAAGAAACCATTTGTTTAAGAATTTGATGAGCCACTACATCAACAAAGGAAATATATTCCATAAGTACCGCAGGTGACTTTGCAGTTCCCAAAAAAAGAACCAAATAAGGAAACTCCTTGACAGAATTTTGACCCCATGACCATTCAAGTGATTTTCTTTCTCACTTTTAATAAAGAATCCTTCCAATTTATAAGCATAACTATGACTCCTTCATGGCCATAAGAACTTAGGTAGGTCTCAATAACTAAATCTATACATTTTCTTATAATTCCCATTCTTTCCTCCAGAACATCCCCAAATGAATTGGCCTCACGTTTGTCACTTTCAGAACAATTTTCTATAACTTTCACCATTAAAATAGTAGCTGGCAAAATTCTTGGGAGAAAAAATTCAAACTTTCCATTTTATACAGATGAAGAAACTTTTACCATCATACACAAAAACCTGCCCACTGTCGGTGGCAATTCTGGAGCCAGGATGAGATGCCCACACTGCTGACCCTTGGGCCAGTGTCCTTTCTTCCAAAAACACATTGTGGAAGTTCCGTCTGAAGCAGACAGGTTACATGACAATATTCCAATAGGATCACCAGTGTCAGAATAATCCAGAGCTGATCTATTGACATACTAGGGAAAGTAGTCTGCAGGTCTCCAGGTCTACACTTGGGTGAAATGCTTTCCTGCTCTTCTAGAGGCAAACTTACCTTGTTCTAACAGAGCTCTAGGGGAGTTACATAATGACATCTTAACACTGGCTACTAAACACACCTCAGACTGCTTGGGCCTGATCCTAGGGGGCATCATATCTGAACATACCTTTAGCTGGTCAAATCCTACAGTGTCTGGGTGTAGGGTTTTTTTCCTCTCTCTCTTTTTTTTTGATAACAGGGATTGAACTCAGGGGTACCTTTCCACTGAGCCACATCCCCAGCCCTATATATTTTTATTTAGAGACAGGGTCTCAATGAATTACTTAGGGCCTTGCTATGTTGCCTAGGCTAGCTCTGAACTCATAATCCTCTTGCCTCAGCTTCCTGAGCTGCTCGAATTATGGGCATGCGTCACGCACCTGGCTGGGCATAGGGTTTTTTAGAGTAGCATTGTGCTTATATTGTACCACAGATTCTGGGGTAGGTTAAGATATTTCCACCTCATATTACTTAGTTTAATTGATGATATTTTAAATTAGAAAAGAAAAAAACCTACAATTTAGTTTCTTTTTTTTTTTAAGAGAGAGTGAGAGAGGAGAGAGAGAGAGAGAGAATTTTTAATATTTATTTTTTAGTTCTTGGCGGACACAACATCTTTGTTGGTATGTGGTGCTGAGGATCGAACCCGGGCCGCACACATGCCAGGCGAGCGCGCTACCGCTTGAGCCACATCCCCAGCCCTACAATTTAGTTTCATTTGCTGCTTTTAGGGCTTTAGTTCATTGATTCCATGTCTCTGAACTGTGTACACATGCACACACTTTTAGAAATGAGGAAATTTATAATTAAGTATCAGGATGGGCATGGGGTAGAAGTGAAAGGTCAATGACTTCACAAGGATCAGGGATGAGAAGGCTTAAAGGTTTCAATTTTAAAATGGGCCTGCACTTTTGATTTATGCATGTATTCGTAATTCATCAGCTTAGGTGTCTTCTATGGAGTCCCAGGCAATATCCAAAGTAAACCTGGAACTAAACATTGCCCTATTTGGCTATCCACATTCTTTGAGAGTAAGATGATCAAGGGCTAATCCTTGCCTAAAATAAGGGCTTCAAAAGCCATATCTGGAACATAGCAGCACTAACCAGTCACTTCCGCTCCATCTATAATTATCAATGAAAATTTATATTGAGGTAACTTTTCTCAAGTTCGGCCAACTCTTAACCCCAAATAATCTAAAATCGACAGACTCTTATGGAAGCTATAAAATCTGAAGGTAAGCTATCCCATTTCAACTCATTATCTGAGTTCAAAAGTCCCCTAGGTCAGCTTCATCCTGTGAACTCTGTCAGGTAAAGATTGTAAAAAACGAAGCTTTGACTGGCTACTGGCCCCACACAATGCAAGAGGACCCCACCTCTTCAGGGTGGGTGACTTATCTGTTAATGATCAGGTCTACAGTGGGGAGAGGGGTGAAGAAGGTACAGAGGCCAATTCAGCACTGGCTCGAAAATGCTGCTGAGAGATAAACTGCTCAGCTAATTGATTGAGGGAAGATCTCCCAAGACAGAATCAATAAGGGTCTTATCTGGGTTATTCCTTAGCAGCTGAGGGCTCACATAATCCTCTGAGTCTCCATGTTAAACCTTCATTGGAGATAATCAGAACATTACTTAAAGTGCAATTTAAAGAACGAATCAACCTAAAGAGAAAAAAGGAACTGAGGAATCAAAATCCAGGGTATCTATGGCTGCAGGCATGGAAAAAAACACACTAGGTGACATTTTCAAATTAAGTAAATATATTCAAACAGAAAATGTTTTCAGTAGTGAACTCTGGATGAGAAGCATGGTCTCTGAAAGCTCCCATCCTTAGAATGGATATGCTGGCTAACTGCTGCAAATGATGGGGAAAATTTCCCTAGAGAAAAGATGCTAACATTCTTTTACAGGACACAGTATCTGTGGCAGTAAATGACCTGATTGAAACAAAATGACCCTGTTTGGAACTTAAATGACTTATTAATAAAAAGAATTGATCTTAGAAGTTGTTTGGGTTATCCACAGGTATCTAAAAAAAAAAAATCAGCAGCTTGATGATGCAACAAGGAAAAATGAACATCAATCAGGGAAACAAATGTGGAAATGAATGACAGATGCAGGTATCAAGTCACCAGATGATCAACTAGGAGGAAGAGTCTCTCAGAGATGGTGGTAAATTAGGTTCTACAATTTATACTTGCTGGTTATTCCAAAATACAAAGGGAATCATATATATTTTACCCAGCAAAAGCTCTGATGCCAGTCCAAGCTATATTGTCCATCCACAACTCACTGATGACAAACTGTACAACCAATGTGATAGACTGGGGTATTTTCACTTAGCATGCTAGGCTTCAAGCTGGTGGTTCTTTGTGTATGAATATTGTCTTTTCAGACCTTTATGGAGAAGTTCCCATGCCTAACTCTCATTGTATTCCCCACAGCACCTGGAAGGCAAGAGGCTTTGCATATTGTAGGTGCTCAATAAGCATTTGATAAGTGAAGAATAAATAAACTGTTCTGCTGGAGGAAAGAACACAATAAAAGGGAGGTTTCTAGGAGAGATCCATTTCCAAAATGCTGGGTTACCATATACTTATAATCAGATCAGAGTTGCCTAATAGATAACATAARCTCTGCAGAGGTTTGGACCATGCCTGCCTGTCTCCCTGTGACTCCCTATGGCTCTGGGACAATTCTACAGAGCATGGTAGAAACCAGTACAGAAGCATTCTCTGGAACCAGCGTTAGGCCCTAAAGCAATGTAATAATACAGCAACACCCAAAAGCTAGAGGAACTGATGGGTTGCTGTCAACTGGCCATATGCCTGTATTATTATTATTTTTAAATCCCTTTCTACATAGTATATAATATATTTGTTAAAAAAAGGTGATGTGTAGGATTGTTATGCATTTAGTAGGCTACTTGGGTACTAGAGGCATGTGAAATATCTGACCAACACACTTAAATCCTGGGGTAGATCACCCCAGAGAAAGAGGAAGAGAGTGGGGTAGATGGTGGAGGGAAAGGCCATAGTGGGAGGCTTTGTTTCAAATTGCAGCATCCCTAGGGTAGCTGGAGTATGGTAGCAGATGCATATGTCTGAGTCCTCACAAGGTCCAAAAGATGAGCTCCCATAGGTGCCTTACCTGACTCTGGGCAGTCCAGAGTGACTGTGAAATGGAACTTCCCTTTCTCTAGAAAGAGAGCTGGTCCAGTCTGATTTCAGGTCTCTAGGCCTTATTCTACACTCTGCCTAAGTCTCAGCACTGCAGCTTTCTGTCTGAAAGGAGAGGTCCCTCACAGATGGTATTGATGGTTGCTTAAGGGAGTGCAGAGATCTCTTATTGCCAAGGACTGTGGCAATTATCTTTTTGGTTTATCTTAAGAGGACAGGGTGGCCTCCTCATCTCATTCTGAAATCTTCCCAAAGGCTGGCTTTTTGAAATGGAAGAAAATGGAGACACAGTGATAGCTCCTAAAGACGTTATTAACCACAGGAATTCAAACTGTTAGGAAAGGAATGCATTTATGGAACAGAAATCATTACTGGTGAAGAGTGCTGGGCTCCTGTAGAGAGAGATTTCCATATCACTGTATCCTACATTCCAGAAGTACTCTAAGGATGGTTCCCCATTATCAATGAACCTTCTCTTCTAAACATAYCAACCTAGACCCAACCACCCCATTTTTGTGTTGCTTCTCAGCCCCTGGTAGGTTGTGAATTCTCCATGGGCCCTGGTCCAGCAATTCCCATGTACTCTTTCTTTAAATGCTGATTTGTCTAGGGAAAAAAAAAGCTTTAGTTATTATACAAAACAAGAAAACAATCACTATTTTTAATAAAGCCAACAAGAAGCAAATTCTTGTAGGGTGAGAAATAGTTACAGATGATGCAGCTTCTAACCTGAAAAAATAATACAAGTAGTCACAGCCATCAAGTCTTGGAGAGGGTCTTGGAACCTGGAAGGAAAAAGGATTTCTCACTTGGTGATCACTGTAGAAATGGCAATGCAAGAACCCTCCCTGATAAACTGATTTGCTCAGGTAAGTATGGGAATGGCCAAGAGAGTTGCACAGAACCTWCTATTACTTCACCCCAACAGCCCCACTTCAACCCCTCACCCCTTTCCCCTGGCAAAAGAGGTCATCCTGCTGGTGGGGAGCAAGAACCTTCCAGTTCCCAGGCTAAAAACAAAAACCTTGAGACCAACGATTCCATTTTCACTCCTAATCTCTGAATATAAATTAAGCCAAGCCCAACAGTAAAGAGTTGGCTGGTGTGTCCCTGGAGCAAATGCAGACTTCAGAGTTCCCATTCCTACAGTTAAGATTTGAGCACTGAAAGGAACTTCACTGGAGCCTACACCCATAGGTTGATCTATACCTAGCCCCAGGCAGCTTCAGCCACTAAAGGGAGACACCCCTTTGTTTTCCTGCTAGAAGGGTTGGGCAACAGAAAGCAGGACACGTACAGCCACGATGAGGAAGTCCAGCCAGCACCAGGCATTGGTGAAGAACTTCACGAAGCCATAGGCTGTCCACTTGAGCAACATCTCCAGGATGAAGATGTAGGTGAAGACTTTGTCAGCGTATTCCAGGATGGTTCGGATGGTCTTCCTCTGCTCAATGTAGATGTCCTCAAAGGCCTGAAAGAGAGGCAACAGTTGCCTACTACAGTGCTGAAAGGTAAACAGGCTCTTGGGAAGCTGGCCTTTCATCAGCTTCCTGCCTCTTCCACTTTACTTCCCTGCTACACGTTTTATTTATATATCTTTGCAGTGTTGAGTATTGAATCCAGGGCCTTGCTCATGCTAGGCATGTGCTTTACCACTGAGCTACATCCCCAACCCAGGGTTTTATTTTTTTTTTTAATCAGCATTATTGAAGAATACTTCATATACCATATAATCCAGCCATTTAAATTCAACGGCTCTTAGTACATTCGGAATTATGCGTCCATCATAATTTTAGATCATTAACTCAAACAAACTCCCATACCCTTTAGTTATCACCCCGCAGCCTCTTCCTACTCCCCTGATCCTAGGCAACCACTAATCTACTTTCTATAGATTTACCTATTCTGGACATTTCATATAAATGGGATCATATATCATGTGGTCCTTCATGACTTATTTCTTAACTAAACATAAAGCTTTCAAAGTTCTTCCATGTTGTCGTGTGTATCAGTACTTCACTCCTTTTTGTGGTATAATATTCCAAGATGTGGTTATGTCACATTTTGTTCAACCTTCATCAGTTGATGAAGATTTGTGTTGTTTCAATTTTTTTGGTTATTATGAATAATGCTGCTATGAATGCTTGTATGTGAGTTTTTATGTGAACATATGCTTTTATTTTTCATATGCCCGGAACAGAACTGCTGTTAATTCTATGCTTAATTTTTTGAGGAACTGTCCAACTGTTTTCCAAAGTGGTTACACCATTTCATATTCCTACGAGCAGTATATGAATGTTCCAATGTCTCTATATCTTCACCAATATTACACATATGACAATATATTTTGTTTCAAGTCCCTTGATACCACAGATATGGGTGGAGGGCCATAGGGGTGGGAGATACTTAGGGGTAGAAAATTATAGTATGGCTTTCTTCTCTGATATCCATGAATGAGATAATTCTTTGATATGAAGGTATGAGCATTCCCATTTGCAGAGTGCAGGGTGATGTTAAGAGAAGGGACACTTATATAACATGGAAAAAAAAAAAAACTGTGGAAGTAGAAAAAAGTCCCCTGGGAGGTGCCTGCTCTGAACTGTTCCAGAAGGAAACCTGGAGTCCGACTGTCTGCAACCTCATCTTCCAAAATGGAGGCATGTGAACATCAGGTGCTCCAGTTTCATCAGTGGTCAGTAGACACAGAAGTCATGAGATCCACAATCCTTCTCATGGACTTAGTACAATAAATACTCTCTGATCAATTAAAAAAGCAGCAGCTTCTATGTCAGGCTTTCCCTAAACTCTATTTGTTAGAAATTCATTCTAAGGATCCCCTATCTCTGAGATAGCACTACAACTATGCTCTAGTAGCTTCAGTCCCTTCACTATTCTTAAGTCTCATGCCTATTATGGCACAAGGTCTTCCTGTCCTGAGTTAAGGTATCCACTGTTTGCTCATCCATGACAAATAAAAATGGTCAAAGGTGATCAGTAAAGAAAGTTCAAAACTTTTGCTGTCCTGCTGCTTTATTCTTTTTATGGAGTCAGGGTAGAAAAGCAGCAAGGGATGGGGTGTGTTCTGTTTTTTTGTGTTTTTGTTTACTTACTAGATTTAAAGAATAATGATGATGACAATGATCAAATACCCTTCTCTAGTCACTCGCCCTAGTCTGATCCTTCTGCTCCTCAGGGGCAGAGACCATGCTGCTGTCACTGTTCGAGAAAGCATGGCATGAATGCTCAGTAATGCAAAAAGTGATCTGGGGCAGGTGAGACAGTCTGGCTGCCCCTTACTCAGACCATGGTTCTCATCCCATCTTCTGGGCCTCTTGCTGTAGTCCTGATGCCTGCCTGCATAATCCTCCCCACTCCTCACATCCTAGTCAGAAAGTCATCCTCTTTGTCCTTGGGCTCCTTATTACTATACACTACACCTCTGTCAGCTTCTCCTGGTCTTTTACCTTCTAAGCCAGTAACTTCTTGAGTTACTGTCTTTAACACCAAATTTGAGTTTTTTCCCTTCTTGTTATTATTACTTTTGCTTTTAGATGAAGCTTGATTTCTTACTTACATGAATGTATCCACTTTCTTTAAAAACATCTCAAAAKTCTATACTCTTCACCTTTCCTTTAATGAAAGGAAGAAAATGTGTGCTGCCTTTAGTCCCTCTGTCCTCAAATCTCCTCAGTCACAGATGACTCCCTCATACCAGACCCTGTCCAGTTGTCTCAGTGATAATCAGGCTAAAAATGAGAGCAAATGCCAAGACCATTAGTCATCACAGGGGAGGTACTGTGTATTCAGCACCCTGTACACCTCACTAACGAATGATGAGCACCTAGGGCAACGTGAATATAAATAACCTCTGCCCCAGAGATCTGACTCTCTAAATGTTTGCTAATGTGGGTTCTCCAAAACCAGTAGGATGTGAAGGGAGAGGGAGGGGGAACACCACCTCCCTCATCTTGAGCTACTGAAACATATAGAATGAGAAATTTGGGGTGTTAGGTGAGAGAGGGAAGTTCACCTGAGGAAGCTGCTTAGGCTGGGGTGAAGGGGATACTGAGGACACGTGGTAATTTGTGTGCTCATCCTGACGAAAAGGTGGTCTTAGGCATCAGAAGATCAGGATGTGGGAAAGTGTGGATTTTAATGCCCAAAGCTCAAAACACCAGCCTGAAGTACTTTAACAGATGATTATTCTCAGGGCCACAGCTCATCTGTACTTTAAAATCACCAGGCTTGGGCCCCATCCAGCCTCCTCCCACTGGTTTCTCTTTACCCTTCCCCAGCCAAAGCCTCATCATATTTTCCCCTGGACCTCACCAGGGCACCACTGCTGAGCAGAATCATGAAGATGATGAAGGTCTCAAACCAATTATGCTCCACGATGAGGAAGCAGGTTTTCCGCAGGATCCACCAAGACTTGCCTAGCCCTTCCTCAATGTTGACCTGGCAGCACTTGAACCGCTGGACACAACCTGGTACCAGTGTGAGAGGAGGTCAGACTGTGGAAACTCGCCCTACCCAGACCCACCCTCACCTCCATCTCCCAGGCCCCACCACACAGCAGGAAGGACAGTGGCTAAATCAGTATATCTGATTCAAGAATGGAGCCAGTGGCAGGGCTGAGGCTATACTACAAAGGTTAACGGGGCAAGGCCTTCTGGAGTCAGGAGACAGGCACAGCCACAACAGGAGAGGACGTTTTCATGGCTGAGTTTGGGCTGATGCCCAAAGCAGAAAGACAAAAGAGAAGCTGGAGAAGAGAAACTTACATGTCAGAACTGAGTAGGGGAAACAGTACATCTTTCTTCAAAACTGGGGGTCGGGAACAAAGTTCTTGAAGATAGCCACCAAACACCCCCCACCTGGCACAGACACATCCATGAGCCGTGCACATGCTCACTCCTCTCCTTGCCCCTTGTACCTTCCGTGAAGCAGGCATCTGGATCCAAGTATTCCTCAGGCTGTTCCACAGGGACTTCTTCTACTTCTGGCTTGATATCGATGGTGCTTCCTTCTGAGGAGCTAGTATCATCCAGTTTCTAGATATGCAAGGAAAAGAGAGGTGAAGCAACTCTGTAGAAACACATCCACTGGACATGGATGACTACTCTGCTAGGAGGGACAGGCCAGATGTAACTCTTCTCTATAATTCTTGTTATAATTCATCACCATCCAACTCATGATCATGAGATCAAGACCACAGGCCCTCAATAATTCTGTCAGGATGGGATATAACAATAAAACCCACATAGAGAAGATAGCGACCCAGCCTAAGCTAAATGTGACCCTGGGTTGGTCTCAGGCAGATTAATGGTAGGGAAGAACTCAGTGGTTTACTCCAGTCTCTAACCAGATGCTTCAGAAGCAATGGAGCCAACCTAGACTAGAATTGGTTTTCAAAGTGAACTAGCTTTTGAAGAATCTACCAAACCCAGAACTGAACCAATCCCTGGGGTTGACAGAGTCCTGTTTGGTATTTCACATAAGATCAAGGCAGGTTTCTGGGCTGGGACCTTACATCTTTGCTGCCTTCAGGATCTGACTCGCTGCTAACATCTTCTGTGTTGAGGTTCTCAAAGTCAGACTCGCCTACAGCAATAGGCACCCGTACAGTCAAGTTGGGGTTGTTGATGAAGGACATGTGGTCCTCATCAATGATATACTTCTCCACGCTGCTGCCAATGCCACTGGTTGTACCATTGCCATTCTTTTGGAAGTCACCATTCCGGTGGATGTCTGCACCCGTATGGTTGGCAATGCAGTTGGCCTTCTTTTCATATAACTCATCCAGTGGTTTCACTTCATCTGCCTCACGCTGCTTAAAATGAGCCTGCATGAAGGCATGCACTTTTATTTTGGTCCAAGCCACACCCTTCTTGATACGAATTACTGAGATCTGTAGGTTATTCATTTCTCCATCATCATCKGTGGCTGCCAGGTTGTCTGCACTGAAGGAACTCAGAAGCAGGGCCAGAAAGAGGTTCAGCACCTATACCAGTAGCATTCGAAAAAGACATGATTATAGAATGGTCTTAGGAACAATCACCTTGATGCACTAGGGGCTGCAAATTAGAAGCCAACAGAATTTATGTAATAGATTCAAGAATTCCTTTTTCTTTTGGTACTGGGGATTGAGCCCAGAGGCACTTAACTACTGAGTCACATCCCCGCCATTTTTTAGTATTTTATTTAGAGACAGGGTCTCACTAAGTTGCTTAGGGCCTTGCTAAGGTGCTGAAGTTGGCTGTGAACTCACTATCCTCCTGCCTCAGCCTCCTGAGCTGCTGGGATTATAGGCATGTGCCATCAGACTGGGATAGATTCAAGAAATTCTGTTGTGTTTCTTTGGCCTGTATAGTATTTTAAATGCTCATGTCACCAGGTAGATTTTTTTTTTTGTTTTAATTTTAATACAAGTAGCCTAGCACCTCTTTTCTTGGCTATTTTACAGTTGTACATATGGACTCCAAAATATACTATTTCTCTTACAACCAGAAAAAATAAAGATTGTATTCATTTTGATTAGAAAAATCTCTGAAAATAAAAATAGGTGGATATAGATTTTGGGGAAAGGTCAAAGAATACATAGATGCCATGTATTTACAAAGAGTAGCCATGCTAGAAAAAACCAAAAAACTAGGCTTGGTGAACTATACTTCCTTCCATACAACAAATAAAGAAGGAGGAACTCAAATATATTTCATATCATTTTATTTTAAGAATAAATTTTGAGGAGCTGGGATTGTAGCTCAGTGGTAGAGTGCTTGCCTAGCATGTGTGAAAAACTGGGTTCAATTCTCAGAATCACATATAAATAAATAAAAATAAAGGTCCATCAACAACTTAAAAAAAAAAAAGAATGAATTTTGAGGCTGTGAGTGTAGCTCAGTATGTATGAGGGCTTGTCTTTGATTCCCAGTACCACAAAACAAAAAAAAAGAATGACTTTTCTTTGCTTTCTTAACATTTGTAAAAATAAAAGAACTGCCAGTCATGGTAGTGTGTGCCTGTAGTGCTGGTTACTTGGGAGGCTGAGGCAGGTGGGTAGCTTACGTGTAGGAATTTGAGGCCAGCTTGGGCAGTATATCGAGACCTCATTTCAACAAAAACAAAATTAAATAAAAAAATTAGGGCTGGGGATGTGACTCAAGTGGTAGCACGCTCGCCTGGCATGCGTGCGGCCCGGGTTCGATCCTCAGCACCACATACAAACAAAGATGTTGTGTCCACCGAAAACTAAAAAATAAATATTAAAATTCTCTCTCTCTCTCTCCTCTCTCTTAAAAAAAAAACTATAAAAAAATTATAATAGGGCTGGGGATGTGGCTCAAGTGGTAGCGCGCTCACCTAGCATGCGTGAGGCACTGGGTTCGATTCTCAGCACCACATAAAAACAAAATAAAGATATTGTGTCCACCTAAAAAAAAAAAACTAAAAAAAAATTATAATAAAAACTTTAGCAAGACAGTGATGTCGTCTTCTGTGTTCATAGCCAAGTGTCAGGCCACCAGATACAACTTTATTTGTTTTTGTTTTAATTTCTTGTTTTACTACAATGGACATTAAGATTAACTTATTTAGCTAGATGTAGTGGCAGATGCCTGTAATCCCAGCAACTCAAGAGCCTGAGGCAGGAGGATTGCAAGTTCAAGGCCAGCCACAGCAATTTAGCCAGATCCTATCTCAAAAAAAAAAAAAAAAAAAAAAAAGACTGGGGATGTAGCTCAGTGATAAACTGCTACTGGGTTTAATCCCTAGATCCCTAGTACCCTCCACCAACAATTAATTTATTTTTATTAAGTCCAACTTTGAAAAGAGGGAGATTTAATTTGTTCTTTACTTTGTCATACTTTGGAAGAAGAGTAGGGCATACATTTTAGGTAGAGATAATAGTGTATGTTGAGAAAGAGAGTAGAAATAATAAATAAACTATAAGTATTTGGATCATCTGGGCTATTTGTAGAGTTAAAAAGAAACTGACAATGGGTTGGGGTTGTAGCTCAGTGACTGAGCGCCTACTTAGCATGCACGAGGCACTGGGTTTGATCCCAGCACCACATAAAAAAACGAAATAAACAAAATAAAGGCATTGTGTCCATCTACAACTAAAAATATTTTTAAAAAAGAAGAAGAAGAAATTGACAAGCCAGGTATGGTGGCACATGCCTGTAATCCCAGCGGCTTGGGTGGCTAAGGCAGTAGGATCATGAGTTCAAAGCCAACCTCAGCAATGGCTAGGCACTAAGCAACTCAGTGAGACCCAGTCTCTAAATAAAATACAAAATAGGGCTGGGGATGTGGCTCAGTGGTTGAGTGCCCCTAAGTTCAATCTATAGTATAGGGAGGGGGGAAGGAAAGAAATTGACAAAATGGAATAGGAGAGGGCTTGGAAGGCCAAGCTGAGGGATGTAAATTGTATTTAATTGGATCTACCATTGTTTTTGTGCTACTGGGGATTGAACCTAGGACAAGGGTACTTGCTAGGCAAGTGTTCTACTAAGGAACTACCTCCTCAGCTTCCCCTCCTCTTTTTAAATTTTACTTTGAGATGGGATCTTGCTAAGCTGCCTAGGCTGGCTTTAACCCTGAAATCCTCTGCCTCTCTCTTCTAAGTAGCATGATCACAGGTGTGTGCCACTATGCTCAGGTCCACTATTTGTTCTGAATAAAGGAGACACAGAGGATGACAGATTTAAGAAAGTCATTCCTATTTGCTACATATAGAGGAAGTTTGAAGCTAGAAAGCTGTTGCAGGCATGAGCTGATGAAGTTTGGATCAAGCTATCATGGTCCCAATCATTAGCATTTATCAGTCTCTAGGAGGAAGCAGACCCTTGTTAAAACACAATTTCCTTACCCTATGTTGAAAAGATCCTGATTCAGGAGATCTGGTGTAGGATCTGCGACTGGGTTTTATTAATGAATGAGTCTTTGGTGATTATGATGCAGGTGGTCTTCAGACCACACTTTTAGAAATACTGCATGGATTACAGAAATGCAAAGGAAGGGGTAAATCATAGAAATATGATGGAGAAAGATGAAAAAAGACCTGTGAAGTAAGATGTAGTTAAGAAAGATATACTTTAAGATGGATTAGTGCTTGCTGGTAGCAGAAAGAAAAAGAGAAAAGGCTCCAAAGTTATAGGATCCTAGAGACTAGGTGGGCAGGGCTAAACTAGAGGGAACCTGGAAAAGTGTCATGGGGGGCAGAGATGACTTCAGCCCTGTGCTCAGGTGCCTGGAGGCAGACATGGGGAGATGTCTGGGGACAACAGAGAGGGTGGTGAGGTATCAGGGCAGGAAATGTTGATACATTACATGACAGGAAGTAGGAGCATACTCTCTAAAGGAGTGAAAACATTTAGAGGCACTGGAGCAGAGGGAAAGGTGCAGGAATGGAAAATAATATTAATTAGAGAAGTATCACGGTAGCTACTTTTACAGGTCAAATGAAAACATAGGATAGCTATGTCTGGTTCAGAGGCTGGTGAGTAGGATCCCTTGGCTGGCATATTTCTTTTTTTCTGGTACCAGGGATTAAACCCAGGGATGCTTAACCCCTGAGCTACATCCCCAGACATTTCTATATTTTATTTAGAGACAGGGTCTTGCTGAGTTGCTTAGAGCCTTGCTAAGTTGCTGAGGCTGGCTTTGAACTCATGATCCTCCTGCCTCAGACTCCTGAACTGCTGGGATTACAGGTGTGCACCACCACGCCTAGGTGGCATATTTCTTTATGGCAGAAAACAGAAAGGAAATAATATGGATGAGTTCATAAGGGATCATTTGAGCTTGCCATCTTCCAGTCCTTCATGCTCTGTACTTGCAAGTAGGATCTGGAGACCTGATCCATAAATTGTGATTTCTCAAATTGCGGTGTGCAAATAAATCACATGGAGATCTTGTTATAAATAAAGATTCTGATTTAATAGGTTTGGGGTGGGGTCTAAGATTCTACATTTCTAGCATACTCCCATGTGATCTCATTGCTGCCGTCCTTAGATTATGTGTTGAGAAACAAGTTATTAAAATCTCTGCTGGTGATTCTTTCATACATAGAGGCAAAAGACAGGCAGGTGGAGGAGCAGAGTAAAGCAAAAAAAAAAAAGAAAAAAAGAAAAAAGAAAGATTTCCCATTTATATAGATAAAGTCAAACTCTAAGATGATTTAGATCAGTGGTTTTTCCATGTAGAGTAATTTTGCACTCCAGTGGACATTTGGCAATGTCTGCAGTCTTTTTTGGTTATCTCAATTTGGGAGATGCTACTGGCAGCTTGTGGGCTAGGGATGCTGTTCAGTTCTACAAGGCACAGGACAGTCTCACAGAAAATCATGATGTTCACAATGCCACGGTGAAGAAATCCTAGTTTAGAAAAAGGATTTTTTTTTTTTTTGGTAGTTGAAAGAGCACAGCGTTGTAGTCTAGGTTCAAATAGAAGCCTTGATATTTAATAGCTGTGTGATCTTGGGAAAATCACTTAAGTTTGTTGAGTTTTGTTTTTTTAACTATGAAAAAGGTTGTGTTGTGTTATGACTTAATAGGTACTCTTTTTTTTTATTTGAAGATGGATACAATATCTTTGTTTATTTTTATGGTGCTGAAGATCAAACCCAGTGCCTCACACATGTGAGGCAAGCACTCTACTGATGAGCCTCAACCCCAGTCCCTTAATAGGTACTCTTTAAAATACCAGTCTCTCCCTCATCTGTATCTTAGGGTTCCTGGTCCAAGAAAGAACTAATATTTCAACAGACATGGAAGGTGAGAGAGGGACTATGTAGACTGGGCTTCCGGGCCAAGGGTAGGATGTTCAGGGAAAAGAATAAAATTTTGTTATAAATTATACTAACCACCAAGTTGCCAATAACCATGACCATCATAAAAACAATGAGGCACATGGCCTGGCCTGCCACCTCCATGCAGTCCCACATGGTCTCAATCCATTCCCCGCATAACACTCGAAAGACAATGAGGAAGGAATGGAAAAAGTCATGCATGTGCCAGCGAGGGAGTTCACAGTCCTGGTTGATCTTGCAGACACATTCTTTGTAGCTTTTCCCAAAGAGCTGCATTCCCACCACGGCAAAGATGAAGACAATAATGGCCAGCACCAAGGTCAGGTTGCCCAAGGCACCCACTGAATTTCCAATAATCTTGATCAGCATGTTCAGGGTGGGCCAGGATTTGGCCAATTTGAAGACTCGGAGCTAAAGAGAAAATAAATCAACAAAAACTAAATGATACTCAATCCCATTGTCTTATCACGTGACTAAAATAAAAACATATGAAATTAATAAGATCAGCTTAAATTTATTTAACTCCCTTGAGAAATTCCCAGTACTTTCTTAGGGTCTTAGACTAACAGGGGAGAAACTGAGGTATAGATAAGGGAAAACTAATTAATTTCAGAGTRAGTGAAAATTTAGAGCTAGGATCTAAGAATGCTACCTCTAGTACTTTGTATTAGATCCCGAATCCATCTGCTTTTTAAAAACTCACACATGAACATATCTTTTTCTATTTATTTCCCATTAATGTCTCAAGGTACATGTCAAAGAAAACATGATTTGTTGGAAACTAAAAGATCAGTATGGCAAGGACAATGAGAAGAAGTCATCTATCACCTTAAAAAGGCAAGCATTTAAAAATTCTAAGTATTAGCTGGACATGGTGGTGCACACCTGTAATCTCAGCAGCTTGGGAGACTGAGGCAGGAAGATTGCAAGTTCAAAGCCAGCTTCAGCAATTTAGTGAGGCTCTAAGCAACTCAGCAAGACCCTGTCTAAAAATAAAAAATAAGAAGAGGGCTAAGAGCTAGGGATGGCTCAGTATTTAAGTGCCTCTGGGTTCAATCCCAGGTTAAAAAAAAAAATCTCTTTTGCTTGCCAATAAATAATCAATGGCTGCTACGCAATTTTGTGATATGCTCAGAATAACTTGGAGAAAAAGTACAACTCCCAAGTAGCGACAGTTCTACAAATATCATGAAAAGAGCCTATACTGTTATTAATTCAGAGGACAAAACTTTTTGATTTGAACATTTTTTTTTTTAATTTAAAACTTGAGTCTCATCTGAGATGGGTTGCCTTATGTGTGTATCTGGGCCACTTAAATTTTTTCCCCTTCCTGGCTTCTAATTTATTCAGGTTATTAATTTTCTGGTTTCTTTCTTTTTTTTTTTAAATTTTTTTAGTTGTAAGTCGACACAATGCCTTTATTTTTTACTTATTTATTTTTATGTGGTGCTGAGGATCGAACCCAGTGCCTCACCCATGCTAGGCGAATACTCTACCACTGAGCCATAACCCCGGCCCCTGGTTTCTATCTTTCATTCCTTCCACTTATAATTGATATAATAAGAACTATTCTCAAAAAGTCAACTGTGGGATGGATCTAAACCAGTTACTATTAAGCAGAGATTTCAGAAACTTGATAGATGTTATTTTTGACTTACACCAAGTGAGAGCTCTGTTTTACAAATAGTTTTATTCCATTCCATTTCTCTTTCTTTGATTTGCTGAATATCCTGGTGAAAAAACCTTAAATCCTTTCAGTTGCAAGTGCTTAGGCATCTTCCTGATTGGGAGAGAAAACCCTAAACTGTTTTGATGCCAATGAGGCAGCAATGAGCTTGGAGTGAGATACCCTCAGTGTAATTCAGTTTCTCCAGGGACTTACTCAAGACATAACATATGCCTCTATTTACAGGTAGCTCCTTCGAGGATTTATTAACTGTTCTTTCAGGGTCGTTTTAATAAATTACACATTACTTCAAATATCTTAATAAAAATTCTTCTGAGCTAATAATGTGGAAAACCCAATGTTCAACAACTAATTTCAATATAATTAAAAAAATTTATTTTATTCCAAATTTCTAAAAGGGGTCACTATGATAAAAGAAACAAGGAAAGCCATCTTTGAAAATGGAGAGATTCTTTCCATTTCAGGGGATGCTCAGATAAAGAAACAGTTCCCCAGTAAACCAAATTAGACCTCAGAAAAGCCCTTAAGAGGCCTTTGTCTTTTAGGTTAGCATTATTTTCTGATGAAATTCCCCAAATTCATTTCTGTTTGCTTATTGACTTAAAAAACCGACTTCTACCTTGTGCATCTAATGGAAAGTTTTCAAGCTTTTAGTAGCTAAGTCAACTAAATGACCAACTGGAATTGGGAGTAGAATATAGCTAAGGCTTTTTTTTTTTTTTTTAAACACAATTAAATTTACTTATACAAAACTCTTTCTAGTGGTTGCAAGACAGGAAATTAAAAGAAATTGGAGAAATATGGAATACCAATCGGAAAGATCGCAGCACCGAAAGCCCCTCCACGTCTGCTAGACCCAGTTCCATTAAACTGAGGGAGACAATAAATCCGTCAAAAATGTTCCAACCTTCTTGGAAATAATAGTAGGGATCCATGGCTATGAGCTTCAGGAACATTTCTGCTGTGAAAATTCCAGTGAAAACCTAAAGAGGGGAAGGCAGAAGGTAAGGAAAAGAAATAATAGAGAACGCCTTCATCACCATCATTGGATACAGTATGTCCATGAGACCTCAAGAGGCAGGCTTGGTTTCTGCATCCACAGATATCAATACCTGGATGTCCCACAAGCACCCCATATGATGCAGGAAAATCTCCCTATTTTCCCCTTTAATAAAGACTTCAGCCCCAATGTCCCCATCTTTGTTATCAATTAAAGGCAATTAAAAAAAAAAACAACCTAAGTAATGTTAATTGCACACAAGGTGACTCCTTTTGACAAGGGTCAGCAGTCTCTTTGAATGTATATGCTGGGGATATTTGTTTTAAAAAACCAATGGTGGTCCCTGCCTATAGTCCCAGTGACTGAGGCAGCTGAGGCAGGAGGATCCTAAGTTTGAGGCCAGCCTAGGCAACTTGGTGAGATGCTGTCTCAAAATAAAAATATAAAGGGCCCGGTGGTGTAGCTCAGTGGTAAAGCACTTGCCTAGCATGTATGAGGCTCTGGTTTTAGTCCCCAGTACRGCAAAACATCAATAATAACAATACAAGAAAATAGACATTATTATTGCTATGGGTATATACGTGACTGCATGACCAATGTAATTCTGCAAACTGTACACTCAGAAAAATGAGAAATTATATCCCATCTGATTCAAATGTATGATATGTCAAGATCATTGTACTGTCATGTGTAACTAATTAAAACAAATAAAAAAAAGAAAAAAGAAAAAGATATTTGAAAATTAAAAAAAAAAAAAAAACAACAACACAAGAAATCATCTCATAGAAGTAGATAGTAGTTACCAGAGGCTGGGGAGGGCAGGGAAGAGAGGGAAGGAGAGAGGTTGGTCAATGGAACTGTTACAGTTAGATAGGAGGAACAAATTCTGGAACAAGCAGGATGCCCACAGTTAGCAAAAATGTATCTTGTATTTCAAAATAGCCAGAGAGGACTTTGTTCTCATCACAAAAAAATTCTAGTGGAGGTAATAGGTATGCTAATTGACCTGAATGTATCATTACACAATATATACATGAATTGAAACATTACACTGTACCTCATAAACATGTACAATTATGTGACAATTAAAATATAAAAACAAAACTTGTAAAAAAAAAAAAAAAAAGATCATTGATTGTTATTAGCCCTCACTTGATAGTATAGGTCTTAGGAAACCAAGACATATTTGACACGATTTTTTCTTTTTAAGTCATAAAAACAGTTGAATAGCATCAAAAGTGTGTAAAATATAGTAAAAAATACCCATAATCTCATTACTTTGCATATCATTATTATTCTTATGCATTCTCTTACTTTTTCATATACATTCTGACAGTATTAAAAATCACAGAACATATAATATCTCAGGTCTTATTTATGATCCATCTATGCTGCGTTTTTCTAATTTCTGCTTTTATTGCTATATAAGAGACTACTGGTGGTTGGGTGCAGTGGCACATGCTTGTAATCTCAGTTACTTGGGAGGCTGAGGCAGGAGGACTGCCAAGTAACTGGGCCTCAATAATTTAATGAGACCCTGTTTCAAAATAAAACAATTTTAAAAATGGCTGGTGGTATCTCTCAGTGGTAGAGCACCCCTGGATTAAATCCCTAATAACACACACACACACACACACACACACACTTCTACTGGTGCCTACCACACATGAGGCCCTGGATTTAATCCCTAGCACTGTAAAGAAAAAGAGAATGTGTGTGTGTGTGKGKGGGGGGGCGGGGCGGGGGGATAGATTCTACTAGGTGGCTATACCTTCAAGAATTTTTCTTATTGTTAGAGACTTTGATGCTTCCTTCTTGATTTTTTTCAATATGATAATGATGTAAGAAGTGTTAGGTTTGCAGTTTATTGTGCACAAGAATGACTTATTCCCTAGGTCGCCTCCTCCCACTCTTTTACCTGACAGAGCACCTTGTGTTTCCAAGGCCTTCTTATCCTGCAGTCTTAAGGTAATATGCAGGTGTCCCCTATGAAAAGACCAATACCCTCTGGCCACATAACAGACTTTTACTGAAAACTATGTTTTTAGAGGGGAGARTTTTTCATGCAATAGGTTTACAACCATCATAATAATTAGTACTTATAATAACTGCCTGATCACCAAGTTTACATGTAAAGAAGTTTTTTTTTTTAAGAGATAATTTTTTTAAATATTTATTTTTTAGTTTTCGGCAGACACAACATCTTTGTTTGTATGTATGAGGATTGAACCCGGGCTGCACACATGCCAGGCGAGCACACTACCGCTTGAGCCACAACCCCAGCCCACATGTAAAGAAGTTTAAGAGGGCTGAGGTTGTGGCTCAGTGGTAGAGCACTTGCCTAGCATGGGTGAGGCACTGGGTTCGAGTCTCAACCACACATATTAATTAATTAATAAATAAATAAAGGTCCATCAACAACTAAAAAGAAAATAATAAAAAAAAGAAGTTTAAGAAAAGTTTTGAAGACACAGTCTGAGAATTAAAAATAGTAAAAAATGCTTACATTATAGATGCTGTTTAGAAATATGTTAAAATAATATATAGCAGTCACAAAATAGAAGGACTTGATAGAAACACATGAAAATGGATAAATGGGCTCTTCATTTTTCTATTTGAAGATGCAGTATTGTAAAATGGGAAAAAATTCCTAAAGAGATTCAATTTTGCAAAATCAAAGCTCCTAGTGCAAGCTAAGTATCTGCAGATGGAAGAGTCCTTATCCCCCAGGTTAAGGCCACATAGGGATGGCTAAGCAAATGCTGACATATATTTCAACCTTTGTGTAAATCCAGCATAGTTTTCTACATCTAGAAATGTTAGCCTGTTTGACAAATACTAAGCAGAAGCTTGATCTATTATCCCATGGTCTCATGGTGAACATATAGGAAGTGCTCAGTAATAAGCACTAGCTGACTGACCATAACAGCTGCACCAGGAAAACGCTAGTTCTAACAGGGAACTCAACAATTGCAGTTAACGTGGTGCTGCCTGTAACTGGAATGAATGATTCTGGATGCCCAGTAGGAACTGTTCACATCGGAGGCCAGCTGCTACATTGCTTTGGCACATGGTATGCTATTAGTTGGGCTGTATGTCAAAATGCATCTGGAACTATTAGTTGTGTGACAGAATTATTTTTTTTTTAAAGACTGAGACAAGTGCTGGGTGCAGTGGTGCACACCTATAATCCCAATGACATGGAAGGCTGAGACTGAAGGACTGCAAGTTCAAGGCCAGCCTCAGAAAGTTTGAGGCCAGCCTGGGCAATTTATCCTGAACCAAATTAAAAAATAAAAAGGGTTGGGGATATAGCTCAGTGGTAGAACACCCCTGGGTTCTGTTCCTTGTATTGCGGGGGGTTGGGGGGAGAGAGAGAATGGATTTAAAGTTATCCCTACAGTAACACTCTTACTAGCACTGTGATGATTCTAGGGGAGAAAAAGGGACTTATAAGCAGCACATCAGCAACTGCACATAAGTGTCAATCTTGTGATCATCATCAGATATTCACCTAAGAATTTATGTTCTAATACCATCATTCTAGAAGTATAGGAGAGGATCCTTGGAGTCTCTAAGATCCTTTTAAGGTACATGAAGTCCTCCTTTTCTAACTACATGTATTGGAGCCCAAGTGGGATGGCAGGGGTTCAGCTCAGGATGGGGAGACAGTCCTTGAGGAGGCAAGATGTCCATGTAGGGGACAAGCCTGGCATGTGCTATCAGAGCCAGGGAGAGGTGTCCACTTTGGGAGACAGTCCAGTGAGGGCTATCAGAGGTAGGACAAGGAGGGTGATACCATAGGATGTAGCCTAGGATGACTACACTACACAGATAGAGGCCCAAGTAACAATACTAACTCAGACCTCTGTAGCATAGAATGGGAGGGTGTCCACACTGGAGGGAGGTAGGAGAGCTGGCAGAGAGTGAGAGCTTAAGTATGGTGCAGATGGTGTCTCCGGGGTAGGACACATGAGTAGAGTGAGGAGCAGCTCCTCATAAGGGAAGACCCAACCTGGATATCAGCTCATAGAGGGATGAGGATGGTGTTCACACAGGGAGGTAGCCCACTGCAGGATGTGAGAGCCCAGCTAGGTGAGAGGGATGTGTTCAGCCACTGAGCCAGGTGGAAGGACAGCCTAGGGAACAAGTGTGGGGATGTGGAGTGAGGGGAGTGTCCATGCAGACAGGTGTCATCCACTGTCCATGGAGACAGGTGGTAGCCTTAGCAGGCTAAAGAGAGCCAGCCTGGTATGGGGAGCAAGATCTAGCAGGATAAAGACAGCACCGTACACCTAATGCTGGGGAATGGCTGCTGTGTGGTGAGAGGCTGTCCGTATGCAGAAGGTCCCCTGGGAGGCATCAGAGTCAAGTGGGATAGGGGAAACAATGATGGCTTACATGGGCTGTCAGAGCTTGCAAAGTGTGGCGGGGGCGTCCGTCCCCTTGGAAGATACTGGCAAGGATGCTGGGGGTGGAGGCATCAACCTCTGTGCATGCTGAGGATGCCCAGAATGGAGAGTCAGTGCCTGAACATAGTGGGGAGGGTAGCCACACTGTAAGAGGTAACGGTGGCTTTCTGACCAAGTAAGTGTATCAAAGAGAGTAGCAATGAATTTCTTTCTGAGCAAACTAGAAAGCACCTAGTGGGTCCTGGACTAGAACTGGAAGTAACAGTATCCTCTCATGGTTGTCAACACATATAGCAAGCTTGCTCTAAATGGCTCATCCTTTACCATGAGGGCTGTATGTTGCTCTAAGCAATAAGCACACCCAGATCAGTTTCAAATATTATTTCCATTAAAAGATCAAGTCTTTTTGAGAAATGGCTGATTGCATTTCCAAAATGCAAAATCAGCCTGCCCAGAAAGCAAGGACATATCAAAAAACAAGGATATATAAAAGCAAGGATATATCAAAGGACACACAAGTTAATCTACAGGGCCTTCCAAAGGTCAAATCGGGGGCAGTTTAAATGTGAAAGTAGATAACATTATTGGATTATAACTCATTGAATAGAACTGAAAACCATGAGTTCATACTGACATAAAAAAAGGAATAACTCAAAAGTTGAGTGAACAGGAAATTTAGATAGTTTCAAAATGTTTGCCTCACAAATACTTATTAATTACAAATGTGAAAAGAGTAACTCTATAGGGAGAAGCCTAGCAGACACTACCTTAATCAAATGACCAAATGAATATTATCAGTAACAGAATAAAGGGAATTTTGTGACACCTAGTAGATACAATGAGAGGAAGGCAACCTAACTTGTGTGATATCCCTACTCAAAGGCAAAACTTACATCTAATCAAGTGGAAGCATCAGACAAATGCAAATTGAGAGAATTCTACAAAATAAGCGGCCATGTAATCTTCAGTGTCAAGGCCATAAAACCAATAAAAGCCTGTGGAACTCTTCTGGGATAGAGAAGATTAAATAGATATGACAATTAAATGCAAAGGGTAATTTGGGACCTGCATCCTTTTGTTATAAAGATCATCACTGGAATCCTGGCAAAACCTGAAAAGGACCTGAGAATTAGAGTTTGTAATGTAGTAAGATTAATCTCATGATTTTGACGTTATATGATGGTTACGTAGGAGAATGAATTTGTTTATTAAAAAAACTCACACACACATTAAAGTATTTGGGTTGATAAGGCTATGTTGGTAAGTTACTCTTAAAAGTTTTTTATACTGTACTTGAAACTTTTCTGTAAGATTTTCTGTAAACTTTTCTGTTACTATAATGCACTAATAACAATTTTAAAAATACTCAGATTATTTAAAAGCAACCTTATAAACTTACTGTTGTATTCATTTGGTTCAAAACAGGCAAGAAAATAATCATTACATTTACCTACTATATAATACAAAGTCTGTATAAGTCACATAGCTTTTATATATATAGTCACATAGCCTCCCTGGGCTTCAATTTCCTTTATAAAATATGGGAATTGAATGGAATTATTTCTAAGATTCTTCCTATGATTAGCATTTTCTCTTTCAGGGAGTTGGTGGAAGAGGCAGAAAACTTCAATTTGCAGAAGACTATTCTCATCTTCCCTCAAAAAACATCTACGTGACTGTCTAGGGATCAATAGAATTTAACTCACTGTCCAGGTGCTGGGAAAAGTCTCCTCTTTCCACCCTAAGACAAGCTTGTACCTTGCTTCAACCAAGCTAGTCAACCTCACTTTTTTCCATCCTCTTACTCTTAGATCAAAGATTCTATCTAAATCTCAAAATCTTTGAAAATTCTCCTACTGAATTATATTAATGCAGTTCCTAATATTTACAGGGTACTTTTAACTACCCCAAATATTTTTGAATAGGTTCTCATTTTATCCTCCCAACCACGGAGGAGATGGCATTATCCTCATTTCACAGGTGCAGACCGTTACTCCACAGAAATCAATGTCTGATTTAAGGTTAAGCAATCTCTAACAGGAACCAACACCCGAATCTTCTGGCTTCTAATTCTGTGTTGTTTTCACCAATTCAGCACTTGTTTTTTCCTTTTTTGTGGTGCTTGGGATGGAACCCAAGGGCCTCACACGTGCTAGGCAAGCACTCTACCACTGAGCCACCACCCCAGCCTCAACACTCATGTTGATTGGCAGCAAATATGTCTTTTGAGTTTCTGCTACCATCCAGAAAACACTCAAATGTACGTTTCCTTGAGGTCCAGCAAATACCCAACTTCCTTATCTGACATCTCCACTCAGTGGACAGACACCTCTCAACCAGTACGTACAAACAGAACTCTGGATTTTAAACTCCAAAGATGTTTCTTCTTCAGTAAGCCCCATTTTTCCATCAGTTACTAAACTCTGAATCTAGGCATCACTTATTTTTTCCCTCACTCTCATACCCAGCCCACAGTCTGCAGAACCATTCACTACTCTATCCGTACTGTTAACTCTTCAGTTACTGTCCCCTGAACTCTTGCCTTCTTGTTTTAGAACTGGGTTCTGAGTTGGCTTGTTGTGAGAGTCCCTGAGTATTAGCTGCAGACATCTTTTTCTTCACTGACAGCTGTTGGCAAAGTCCTCTGAATGCTCACAACTCTAATTTAGATGTCATCTTAAGCCTTAGTAGACTTTTAAGGAAGGAAAATATAAAGTTATTTCCTAGCCCAGTGTAGAGGCAATAATACTGGTGATAGGTAAAAAGGCCTCTCAAAATCCCTTTGGTATCAGGGACCGATTCTGCCAAAAGCAAGGAAAAGCTCAGACATGGAGGAAAATGCAATGCTACAGAGAAAACACTACTATCACCACCATCAACAATGAGCATCATCAGATCATGTCTCTTGTTACTAACTCTTGGCTATCTCTGATTGCTGACTGGCTGAAGATGCTGCTTGATGACCAAGGCTTCTAGTCAGTCACACAATGTCCACCACAGGGTCAGTCAGCAGGATTCCAGCACAGTCCCAAGACTGTGTTGTTTCCAAAACTATAGTTTCACTGGGCTGCCCTTAAGAAGCCTGAGCAGTCACTAACCCCAGATATGGAGACTGGCAAGACCACAAAACTATCTGGGGTGTGTAGCAGGAAACACTACAGGCTAAAGGTAAAAGATCTTTTTGCCATATGTTTTCAGAATGGGAACTAAAAATGATATTATAGAATATCTAATAAATGGTAGGTATTGGGGGCTGAGGCTGTAGCTSAGTGGTAAAGCGCTTGCTTTGCATGCGTGAGGCACTGAGTTCAATCCTCAGCACTACATAAAAATAAAGATAATGTGTGTTCATCTACAACTAGAAAATATATATATAAAAAATATTACAAAATAAATAAATGGTAGGTATTATAATTAAGGTGGAAGCTCTGTAAGAGAGAACAAAAAAGATGAAACGAACCAATAGGACACTCTAACAAGAGATCATGTTCCAGTTAAAAATTGGGAGCTAGATATAAACATACCTATGGGCAACCCCAAAGGAATAATAAGGCCCAGATGACCTAGAGGATTCTTTCTAACTCTTTACTGTCCATTGGAACTCAATCAACTCCTGATTTTTGTACCAAGGAAGTAAAACAAATCATCTCTAAATAACAAGTACTTGATTCAGAATACTCTGTGTAATCTATTTTTAAAAACTGCAGCTTACTGCATTTGGGAAGCCAAAGTAGGAGGATTGCAAGTTGTAGGCCAACCTCAGCAACTTAGCAAGACCCTGTCTTGAAATATAAAATAAAAAGGGCTGGGGATGTAATTCCATGGTAAAATCCCCTGGGTTCAATCCCTAGTACCAAAATAAATAAATAAATCTGCATTCTTATGAATAATATAATAAATTAAATGTGACTTAAGCTAACATTAAAATAAATTTGGCACAGATCAATTAATAGCAGAAACTGGATGATGGCCCAGAAGTTGGATGGAAAGGGGAACCAGCATAGGATAAAAAAATTCCCATAAATAATCTCCACATGGATAAGTAAGATCTGACAGTGCAGTAAATTTCAGTGCTTAATGCACTAAAGAGCTGCCCTATTTTGTGATGGTTGTTACTTGAGGTGAAAGGGGAAGTTATTTGCTAGAACAATGCAATGCAGGAATCAATGTGAGAAACGGAATGAGGAAAAAAAAAAAAAACCCACAGAAGTTCTTGGCTCAGGCTGCTGAAACCAACCCACTGTCCCATTCTGTCACCATGGTTGGTTTCCTGCCAATAGCTCCTAAATGACGTCTTCAAAGTTCTGTAGAAAGAGGAAACAGCTGAGGGATCACAACAGTGAGCAGAAGTGCTGGTGTCATGGCATATGTGGAAGCATTTGTCTTCCAATTAACTATTACTTTCTTGTCAACTTGTCAACTCCAGTACCAGAAAAAGATGTTCTATAGGCAAAACATGCTCAAATCATCATATCAGGACACAGCACTCCACCTTACCAGATTTCCTACAGCCAAGACGTGCTCAAACTGTGGCGTCATAGGATGGTGCTCCATTGCCATAAAGAGCGTATTTAGAACAATGCAGATGGTGATGGCTAAGTCCACAAAAGGGTCCATAACAATCAAGTTCACAATCTCTTTGAGTTTTATCCAGTAGGGGTGGCACTCCCAGATGAGAAAAGTATTGGCAAATTTATACCAGCATGGTGGACACTTTCTCTGAGACTCTTCCAGCTCTGCAGTAAGAAAAAAAAAAAAAAAAAAGGCCCCTTAATCAGAGTGAGAAAGCAAAGGGACAATATGATCTTTGAGGTTAGGTCGTTATTATTGTTATTATTATGAGAATAAATAATATTTAAGTGTTGATATTCCTAACTATTTCCCTCCATTCTTTCCCTTAAAGTAGAGAGGAGGCATGATCCATGCAAGTCACTTCCCTATCAACAATGATCCAGTTATAATTTATATAAGACCCAACATTCTAGTTACGGTGTAGACCACAGTAATTAGGAGCTTAGCCTCTGGGGTCTGACTTCTTGGTTCAACTTGCTTCGACACTTACAAGTTGTGTGAACTCAGGCAAGGTAATTGATTTCTCTAGGCCTCAGTTGCCTTGTCTGTAAAACTGAGCATACACTTTTTTTAGATTCTGGGACTAAATGAGTTGTGTAACTCATTTCAAGAGGTTATATGAGTAGGATTAAGGGTTAAAGGAGATGATGCATCTAAAGCAGTCAGCACAGTGCCTGGCACAAGGCAGGTCCTCATTAAATGGTAGGGATTATATTATACATTGTAACAATAAGTTCTTATCAGAGAAGCACAGACTCTAAAGCCAGACACACCGAACTTTAATACTAGCTTAGACATCTGCTAAATGTAGGACCTTGAGCATGTTGCTTCAATTTGTTGTGAGAATTAAAGGAGTTAAGATATCCACAAAGTGCCTAAGAACACACAGCACAGAGTAAGTTCGATGGAAGCCTTTGCTCTTATTATTATCTTCATCAGCAGGATCAGCATTGTCAGCTAGCCACCATGTGGAATATATCTATTATGTTCTCAAAGAAGCACATACAAGTCACTGCTCCTACCTTCAGTGAGTCTGTAATTCACAGCTGAGTTAGAAATATAATTAATATCCTTAATCCCTTCTTTCCTTTTTCTTTCTCCTCCTCTCTTGCCCTTTCCTACTCTCATCTTTTCCTTCTGTCGTTGTAGTTTTTCTCTTCCGCTGGTCTCTTCTTTCCTTTTTATCTCTCTCCTTTTGTCTCACCCTCTCTTTCTTTTAAAAGAAGGACCCCCCCTTTTTTTTCCCAAATAAGATCTCATAAGCCAAGAACTGCTGGAGTTATAGCAGGACAGGAGCCTGGAGCCCAGTACAGTTGACTTCTTCCTTTCCTGAGACACCTCCCCAGAATCCTAGGTTCTCCTCATACAGATGGAGAAGCTGCTGGACTAGATGGTCTCCACAGTTACTTATGAAGCAAAGATTAAAAAGAACAAAGGTAGAGAGTCACTCAGTTGGTAGTCACACAGTATAGGTATGAAGACCTAGGTAATAAAGTTCTCCATGAATTAAGTATGAACTGTGTAATACTTGGATTACAAAACCCCAAGGTCCTTGACCTAAGAGGATGCTTTTTAAAAGAGAAAACCTATTAGAATGATAATTCTTAGAAAGAAGGTATTGTTTCTAAAGGATTGGCTATAACAGCTTCCTCCACTCTGCCTAATCCTACTGACAAAATAAAACTCATTGTGGTAATTAAAAAAGAACTCTCTAACATTGCTCCCCCAAACAAGATGGCTGACATAAATCAGTCTCCTTTCCCTTTCTCCAACCAGCTGGATGGTGACCATGGTGATGGCTTTATTTTAGATGGGGTGGTTTTGGTTGGGTGTCTGATTGGCTCCCTGGTTGCTAAGAAAATGGTTGCCTTGGTTTTTCAGATTTAGGGGCCACAGTAAGCGCCACGTGGGAGTTTGCGTGGGAAAGGAAGTCTGTGAAGAAAATTTGCTTTGGCTTCTTCCTCATAGAACTCCCTCCCTTCCCAAGGTAAATTTAGTTTTCTTCCCCAAAAAAGAAAATGAAAAGGTTCTCTTATTTCCATAAATTCTTATAGTACATATTTGGAAATTTGGTTCCGTTCCTTTTTAAATCTCCTCCTTCTCCAAATGTCTGTAGCCCGCCAGCACCTGGAGGTTGAAGCCTGACTGTTCACATTTCTGACAGATGACACAGTTGCCATGTTTTACAAGGTATTAGGCCGAAAGTCCTTTGAGATAGCAAGACGGTTTTCCTACCCTACCGGGCACCAAGAAGATCCCTATCGGGATATTAAAAATCTCTTATCCACATTAACTGAGAAGAGGAAATCTTCAGGATAATCTTTTATCCCACAGAAACAATGTGGGGTTTAGGAGCTAGAAAAGATCACTAGGTGAATAGGGAGGTTTATAAAATGACCTACAACTTTGCAAATTGTTACTGGCTCCACCTGTCTGGATGGTGAACTATCTGGAAGAATGGGTTAATAGAAGGGTTAATAGAAGGGAGTGAGGTGTCCAAAGGTCTGTGGGTTTCCCCTATTTTTTTTTTTTTAATATTTTTTCCCTTAGTTGTTGATAGATCTTTTTTTTTTTTTTAAATATTTACTTTTTAGCTTTAGGTGGACACAATATCTTTATTTTATTTCTATGTGGTGCTGCGAATCGAACCCAGTGCCTCACACATGCAAGGCAAGTGTGCTACTGCTGAGCCACAGTCCCAGCTCTCTACTTTGTTTTTTGACATTTTCAGAGAGTTTACTGCAGGTCTTAGCCTGGGGGTACTGGGAATGGTTTTCTGAGAGAGCCTAAGTCCACAAAGACTAAGAGGTTTCTGAAGACAGGGTTTCTCTTAATTCAACAACTTTTTTTTTGATATTGAGGGTTGAACCTAGGCGTTTACCACTGAGCTACATCCCCAGCCCTTTTAATTTACTTATTTTTTTTTTTTTTTAATTTGAGATAGGATCTTACCAAGTAGTTTAGGGTCTTGCTAAATTGCTAAAGCTAGTCTTGAACTTGCAATCCTACTGACTCATCCTCCTGAGTCACTGGGATTATAGGCTTATGCCACTATGCCTGGCTCAATTCAATAACTCTTAAGCACTTGCAATGTGCTCTGCACTAGGGGTATAGTGATGAAAAGTCCCACCCTCACAGAGCTTTCAGACCTGCAGAAAAGTCAGATATCAAACAAGTAACTGCACTGACCCTCAGTGCTTATCAGATGAGTTTAAGAATGAGTAAATAAACAATGGCAGCAACAGTTACAGCCAGTCACTCCTAGGAAGTGTCTGAAACAGTTTACCTGAGAGTAATGCCAAGTCCCATCATTAATTCCTCATTCTTACTTCCCTAGCTACCTTCCACAGCTTTGCTGCTTTGAGAAGTCAGACTATACTATTCTTTGTTTATACCCCACTCCCTGCCTTCTGAAATATCCCCCTCTGAAATTTATGGCTGTGCTAGTTATGAATCCTGCTGAGTTTACTTGATCCTAGGGAGTATGTCTGCAATAGGATGGGCTGAGATAGGCAGAGTTTTCTAACTGATTACAGGATTCTAGAATTCTTCACTGTAGTTTCTAGGTAGGTAGGAACCTACTTTTTTGGTTTCAAAAAAATAATTATTTTAGGGCTGAGGCTGTGGCTCAGTGGTAGTGTACCTGCCTAGCATGTGTGAGGTACTGGGTTTGATCCTCAGCAGCACCACATATAAATAAATAAAATAAAGGTCCATCAACAACTAAAAAAATATATAAGAATAATTATTTTAATCTTTGTATTAAAATAACATCAGTTTCCTAACTGAAAATCTGGGAAGCAAGAATAATTATTCATTCATTGCTGGCTGTTAATGTAGCAACCATTAAATATGGAGGATTGGGCTGGGGATGTGGCTCAAGCAGTAGTGCGCTCGCCTGGCATGCATGCSGCCTGGGTTCAATCCTCAGCACCACATACAAATAAAGATGTTGTGTCTGCCAAAAACTAAAAAAATAAATATTAAAAAATTCTCTCTTTAAAAAAAATATGGAGGATTTATCAGAATGGTTAAATAGTAATAGATCCTTTTCTTTTTCACCCATCTTGCTATTTTGCCCAGGCTAGTCTCAAACTTGGGACTGAGCGATCCTCCTGCTTCCAAGTAGCTGGGACCACTCCAGAATAGTCTGAACATATAATGAGTCAAATGAAGATATAGGCAGAATCAATAGGAATATTGCAAAGAAAAACCCAGTCACCGACTTTACCTCTAAGAGGAGCCTGGAATGTACACCAGGCCTGGAGAAAGGGCTGATACTTGCCAGGGGCCCCATGGTCTAAGGGAAAATCYTCAGCTAATCCTCAATCTGTCATGTGTCTGGAGATAACCACCTCAAATAGAGAGTTTGGCACTGACAACAACATCGCTGCAGATGTGCTATGATTCAATAGTGGCTGTTCTTTCCCTGTGGCACAGAGTGCCTAAAGTAGAGGGGGTTCAACTTACCTAGTCACACGTCAAATGTATTTATGGATATGTGGGGGTGTTTGAAGAGAGGCAGAATTAGGTGCAATCAAAATGCAGAGTACATTCTTCCCTCAAGAAAACCCAAAAGGGATCTAAGTAATTAAAAGGAAGAGAAAAAGGTGTGGTTTGGGATAGAGGCCATGAAGGGGATTCCATCATGTATCTTTTCAATGCTTGACCCACATTCCCTGATGTCTCACAACACCCCACAGGCTCCTCATGATGCTGATTACTGAGGCTTCCTGGGATTTTCTGGTTCATTCTCTGTTGCTCCTTCAGCCTTTTTACCTGTCTATATACAATGTTGACAGATTTGAAGTACTTGTTTGATTCTCTTCACATCAATTTGTGAAGAGAATTTGTGATACTGTTTTCTACAACCAGTAAGATCTATTCCTAAAACTTGGAGACATTTTTTGAAAAACTCAGATCAAGGGACAGGGATTATATTTATCATGCACACTACATACTTRTATCTCAGCAGCATCACAGGGCACATACCTTCTACTAGTGTATTTGTAACAACACTCATTATACTGTTGATTCTGTCCTTCCGTCCATAGGAGGCCAGTTGGTCCATGGACACTAAAAGAGATCCAGGGCCTTTCTTCTTAATTTCCACCTCTGTTGTTGCCTATAAAAAGATAGCAATAGGGTAAGAAAGATCTGATAAATGTAAGGCTGGGCCTTATTGGATGGATGGTCCAGAGTATGAACAAGAACATATAATCTTCATTACTTCTTAAATTTATTTTCTAACACCAATTCAGCAATCTAGTCACTTCAAGAATGAAATAAGTTGGCTACAGTTCATCCTTAGTTGTCTAGATAAGACCAAGTCACTTAAGTTATGCAAATTTACAATGAACCCAAGAATCTGGCTGGGACCCAAATGCCTCACTTGGTTAATTCCAACCACAGAGTAGAAAGACCAAAGCCCCCAGGGAACTGCCACTAGGAGTGGACCTTGAGTTTTCTTGTCTAATCTTACATCCATGGCATTTGGCTAGAACTGGTTCACAGGATAAAATAAGTCAAATTCACTTTTACCTGAAATTTCACTGAGGATAAATTCCTGATCACACTGAAAATTATGAATATTGTTTCTTCCCTGGGTAGGAGCACCATTACTCTTAACAAATCACCCCTTTCAGAGACCAAATAAGCATTAGCCTAACTAAACATTAGCAAATTGAAGTTATACTTCAAATCTCCTCTGAGCCACTGTAAGAAAAAACCATATATATATATATGCGTTGTGTGTGTGTGTGCGTGCATGTGTGTATGTGTATGTGTGTATTTTTTTCCTCTTTTTTCCAATTTTGAGACAGGGACTTGCTAAGTTGCTCAGGCTGGCCTCAAATTTGTGGTCCTCCTGTCTCAGCCTCCTAAGTAGATGAGATTACTTACAGGCACATCCACTATGCTTGGCCTTATTATAATGTTTACTTTGCCACATTACAATTTTATTTTATGAGTTAACCTGCAATGTTCAAATTCCAAACCAAATAAAAGTGAAATAAAAATCATCAAATTGTTATAAAAATATTTGTTAGATGCTTTACCTTGGGCAATAATGGTATAATGGATTATAGGAAAGTTTTTCTTTCTTTTGGATACCAGGGGATTGAACCCAGGAGCACTTAACACTGAGCTATATCCCCATCCCTTTTTATTTTTCATTTTGAGACAGGGTATTGCTAAGTTGTTCAGAGCCTCGCCAAGTTGCTGAGGCTGGCCTTGAACTTGCAATCCTCCTGCCTCAGCCTCCCGAGACACTGAGATTATAGGTGTGTACCACTGTGCCCAGCCAGAAAGGGTTTCTTATTGTCCCTTACTTATGCTTTTGTGAATATTTTACACCAGATTAGCTTAACACTTAGCTGTCTAGTGACAGCTGTACCATGTCACCTATATGAAATTGTCTGCTCCTTCCACTGTGAAGGTAAGAGGTCAATAAGAGGACAGAGACAGCCACCAGGGGAGAGACATGTTTGTTGAGGCCTCAGAAGTATATGTCTGATCAACCCCAGAATTATCCTAGCTGTTTTGAAAATAAAATAATTCTGGTGAGCTACATTAAAAAGTCCTTCTGTCCCTTATACATATTTAGATTTTAAGGACTGCAAAAAAAAAAAAAAGTTCCTAGTAGATGACAAGATTTATCTTATTGAAGTGCTTCGTTACACTGTTTTACTGATCCAGACATCTGGTTCCCTCAGGGCCTTGTCTGTTTGGCAGAGCTATAGGAGAAATGGAAAGAAAAAAATAACTGATTTCCTTGGGAATTCCCAGCTTCTTATTATACAAACATCTGTATATGTAAGAATGACTTTGTTGGTCCGGTGCGGTGGTGCCCGTCTGTAATCCCAGTGGCTCAGGAGGCTGAGGCAGGAGGATCCAAAGTTCAAAATCAGCCTCAGTAAAAGTGAGGGGCTAAGCAACTCAGTGAGACCCTGTCTCTAAATACAAAACATGGCTGGGGATGTGGCTCAGTGGTCGAGTGCCCCTGAGTTCAATCATGGTACCAAAAAAAAAAAGGACTTTGTTAATCATTGTCTCAAATCATAAGATAAACAACTTTTTTCCTTTATTTTTTTGTGATGTTGGGGATGGAACCCAGGGCCTCGCCTTGCACATTCAGTGGGCTAGTACTCTACCATTGAGTTACACATCCTGCTCCAGAAGATACATTTCCTAGAGAAGCCACTTTTGAAAGAAATTTCAGCCTGATATTCAAGATATTTAATAAATCGAATTTAATTACTACATTTAAAAAATGATAGTCATCTAAAAATGAACACAGAAAGGCTCTAAACAATAGACATTATTTTTTTTTCTGGCATTGTACTGATTCTAGATTTTTACTGAACTACCCTTTTGTAAATCTGTTACATGGTAGATAATTTTCACAATGCTGACCTCCACAGTGCTATAAGATCTGCCAAAACAGTTGACTCATCAAGGAATATGAAGTTGCTTTTATATGGTTTTTGTACTAAGCATATCTTACTGTTTTCTGGGCTGGCTGGCTAGCTATAACAAGATATAAATTCTTAGGATTTATTATCATCAACCTTAAAAAACAAAATTCATGAAAACAGAGTCTAAAAGACCTATTTAAACATTAGATTATCATTTAATAGTCCTTACTGGAAAGCTGAAATAATCCTTAAGCTTAATACTAAGATGGAACAACTATTATGTATATCTTTTGATGTTAAATGAAAATAAACTATAGCAGGGATACATGGAGATAATGTCTGCAACATTAAAATTTGCTTTGTAACTCCCTTATAGAATACATTTTAATTTTCAAAAAAGAAATAAGTAAAAGACACCAAGAAAAAAAATGTTCAAAACCCATGCTTGGGTAATTTTATGGGTAAAAAATTCATATGTTCTCTTTCTATAAAACAAGAGCATTTGGAATAGATTCAAATAACTGGTTCATCAAAGTCTTCTGGGAACAATAAGATATTTAGAAAAAGTCCCACAACAGATTTCTAAAAAATCCATGTTGCAAAGAAGAAATCACAAGGGAAATTAGAAAATAGTTAAAATCAATGATAATGAAAACACAATACATTAAAATTTATGGGATGCAGCTAAAGTAAAGGCTAGAGGAAATTTTATCACTTTAAATACTCACATTTGAAAATAAAAAAGGCATAAGAATCAATGCTCTAAACTTCTATTTTAAGAAAGCAGAAAAAATTAAATTAAATCTTAGTAAATAGATAAAAAGAAATAATGAAAACAGAAAATGAAATAATAAATTGATAAATAATAGATAATAAAAAGTAAAATGTTGGTTTTTTGAAAAGATTAATAAAATCATAATTCCTATAGCAAGACTGGCCAATAAAAACAGAAAGAAACACACATTATCATTTTCAGAAAGGAAGAAAGGATGTCACTATAAATCCTACAGATACTTAGCTTTGTGCCACTTCATCTTAAGTGAAATAAATGGTCAAACTAGTCAAAATATAACTATCAAAACTGATACAAGAATAAATAGAAAATCTTCATAGCCCATTAATAATTTAAAAACCTTACTACAAAGAAAACTCCAGCCCTAGAGGGTTCTACAAGTGATTTCTATGAAACATTTGTAAGAAATAATACTAATCTTACACAAATTCATTCAGAAAACAGAGGATAAGGATATTCATTTGCTTAATAAAGTGAACATAATCCTGATATCAAACCTGACAAAAACAGCACAAGAAACTGTTCTCATAAACAGAGGTTTAAAATCCTCAGCAAAATATGAGTAAACAAAATCCAGCAATATACACAAAGGATAATACATGATAATCACAAACAGTTTATCCCAGGAAAGCAAGGTTAGTTTAGAGCCAGAAAAAAGGTCAGTGTCATGCATCACAATGACAGAATAAAGAAGAAAATGAATTTGATCACCTCATAAATGCAAATGAACAGCACTGAACAAAATTAAATACCTCTGCATAAAATTTCTCAGCAAGCCACAAATAGCACATAGTAGTTTCAATCTGATAAAAGATATCTATGAAAACCTATAGCCAATCAATAGCCAATGCTCATGGTAAAACATTAAATCCCTTCCCCTTAATATTGGAAATAAAGAAGATGTCTGCTTTCATCAATTGTATTCAATTTTGTATCTAACATCACAATGAATGCAATAAAGCAAAAATAAATAAAAACAATTATTTAAGTTGTTATCCACAGAAAATATTACTGTGTATGTAGAAAACTATGTAGAATTTTCCTAAAATAAAAAACCTCTGAATTTAATAAGACCAAATGTTATAATTTACCAAGGTCACACGATGCAAGATCAATATATAAAAATCAACTGCATTTCTATATTGTGGCAACAAACACTTGAAAAATCAAGTTTTTAAATTATACCTTTTGTGAAACAAGGAATAAATCCAATGAAAGCTGTGCAAAACCCCCATTATGAAACTATGATTTTGTTGCGAGAACCTTGAGGACACCTAAATAAATGAAGAAATACACCACCATTCATAGATTTTTAGGACATTAGAATTACAATGCCCACTCTCTCCAAATTGATCTACAAAATTCTAAGTTTTTTGATAGAAATTAAAATTCTAAAATGTATAAGCAACACTCCAAGGCTCTATAATAGAAAAATAATCTTTAAAAATGATCTAGAATAGCAAAATTATTTCTTTTTTAAAATATTTATTATTTTTTTAGTTGTAGTTGGACACAATACCTTTATTTCACTTATTTATTTTTATGTGGTTCTGAGGATTGAACCCAGTGCCCCGCACATGCCAGGCGAGCGCACCACCACTTGAGCCACATCCTCAGCCCACAAAATTATTTCTTAAAAATTTTCATCCTTTAAATATCTTTAAAAACTGCCTCAATTTTAGACTCATTACAAGATAAACATGTATGGGCATAAGAATAGACACATAGATTAAGGGAACATGTATACATCAATTGATTTTCAGGCGAGCGCGCTACCGCTTGAGCCACATCCCCAGCCCTCAATTGATTTTCAAGCAAGGCACCGATTCAACTTCAGTAACTCTGGGTGAGGATTACTCAGTGTACTGTAGCAATCTGATCACACAGTGACCTTTAATAAAGAATACGGTTGGCAGA